GGATAATACCCACTTTGGGAACTCTCCAAAAGTCAAAATACTGGCTTCTGTAGGACTGCACCTGTATATAGAAACCAATGGTACAGTGGATAGCTGGAGCCATAGAAGGGCAGTTTCAATCTCACATGGCATTCATCATCCCTCTACCTACTCGTTGATAGGGCACGAGTGTCATGGATTGGTGGCCCTTTGTCTTAGCAGGCGTGGTTTGAGAGGTCGATTTTCTGCATAGTGGTCTCACTGTAAGCTGTTAGCTCAGGGATCAGAGAGAGCTCAGAGCTCAGAGCTCAGAGCTCAGAGAGAGATAGAGAGTCAGTCAGTCAGTCAAACACGTCGATCTTCCGTCTTTCATCTCCAGCTACGAAGCTGCTCATACACTGAACCGCTTATCTTACTTATGGAACAAGCTCACATTCTAGACGAGCCCCAAGGCTTGAGCACCGACAGAACTAATGTGAGAATCGAGCTTGCTTCATACTCTCACACAAGCAAGAATGACAGCCAAAACTCGAGAAGGCCCAGCTACCGAGCCAGCTTTCTGTTTCCCAAGCTCCTCCAAAGTCTTTACTGGAGTAGCCTGCTTTACAGAAAGTCGGATCACATTGAGTTGCAGGCCGATCGATGCTTATATTCTGGTCTCTGTTAGTGACAGCAATCACCTACCACCAGATACAATCGACGATCATATTCCTCATTCACTCCAACAATCATCCCTCTTGCCCACGGAGCTGCAGCTCTCTCATCGTGTATTTATGTTCAGATTTCCAAGCGTTTAGAGACAAACGAGTCACAGCTGCTACTCTTCCTTTTATGCTATTAAAAATTCGAGAGTCGAGACAGAAATGTCATAGTAGAATGAAAGAGCTCTCGCTTCTCCAGCCGACAGCAGTTTGATTTTCATTGAACCATAAAGCAGGAAGATCGATACTCCAGCTCGCAAAAGGTCCCAAGAACCTCAAGAATCCCAAGTACGTCTCCAACATGATCGGAGAGCCGGGCTGCAAGTTTTGGATCAGAAGGATAATCCATTAGCCAGATCGACAGGCCAGGACACGGCAGAGAATCATGAAGAGAAAACAAGACAGCTGCATGCAAATTATACCCAAACCAGAAGGTAGAGGTCAAATATTACCTCGATCCAATCAACCCCATGCATGCATGCCTTGTGTGGGAAGAGACATTCCAATTTCTGCCCTCCAAAGAGTGAGAGGCGACGTGGCAGGCAGGTCCCGATCTGTGGCAGGTGCGAGCCAGATAGCTGCAAAACAAGAAAACGTGGGGTTACAATAATTTGTTTATCCTCTCAACATTCATCTCCATATTCAATCATCGAATATTAGGTTCAGTATTGTTTGGTTTAAATTCAAGAGCTGATCACAAAAGGATGGATGTCTGAGAGAGAGGTCGAATGAGTCTGAACTCAGCCTACCTCCAACTCACTGAGAAGAGAACATACTCGCTACTATGAAGGAAATGAGGAGTCCCCACATCCAAAGAGCTTCCGTAGGGAGGGCCCGTCCTTCTTTTAGAACCTTTGCAAGATCAGTCTCCGACCCACTGCCATCATCACAACAAGGAACGGGGGCCATGATTATGAGTACAGCTTTATAGAATCTGAGAACAACTGTATAGATAAGCAAGTCCAGAACAGCCTATACAAATGTGAATATATACTTTATAAAATGTGGAAATAATATCGACATGTTTTAAATAAAAACTCCAAGGAGAACGTCAGCTGGTCTAACCGACTAGTAGGTCCGCCATACTGCTGCTCCTCCTCCAGTCTTCCTTTTTTCAAAAGGAAGAGATCTGGAGGTGATCTGGAGGACAAGGAGGCGGACAAGGAGGTGATCCCAGCCAGAGAACTGAGTCCATGACTCTTGCAAAGTACGAAGAGCGAGGAGAGCATGGCAAAGGGATGTATGCAGAAGATCTAGCAGCCGAATTTCCATCACCAGCGCAAGTAAAACTGACTACAGCATCATCGTCAACTTCCCAACCTGAGCAACTGCGTTTGCAACTCCATTCTTACGGAGGGAGCTTCTTCTTAAATCTTCTCAGCGTGCTAAAGTACACAGCGACTAATTGAATATCAAAGATTCACAGCGGTTGAATCAATCATCAGAATCCGTGGAAGTTGGATGAGAGGAGACACATGTAATCTCAGCAAAGTCAGTACATCTAGCCGGGTCGGGGGAGCTTACTGGCACTTACCGAGGCTGCCATTTCGTTAGCGCCAATCATGGAAGCCCAGCCGAACATAAAGCAGCTTCCAGCCACAGGTACACCCACCAGAACATCGACCAATATCCAACAGCTTCTCGGAGTCCCATCGACGACACAAGCGAGAGATCGGCTCGATGCAATTTTGCTCCGCCATGCTCCTTCGTAGATGGACAGATGTAAACATTTTTTCAGGAAATCACAATTGCTGCATTCTCAGATTTCACCGCCCGCCTCACCAATATATAAAATCAACGCAGTGAAGACAGCTGATGCCGGGACTTAGCTCTGCCAGCTCTTTCGCGAATGGCACTCGCTCAGGCTGCGAACAGATCAGCCAGTCAAGTCTTGCAGCATCAAAGGTTCGTGTTTTTGGAAGCAATATGTTTCTTCCGTATCGATGATCTCCAATAACCGAAGTGATACTGAATGAGCTCAATCTTGTTCTGCTGGGAAAGTGATTGAGTGACCGACCTCGGAAACTTATAGGAGGAACGGGTACAGACGCAAGGTTGCATGAATGAATGAATGAAAGCATGAGGAGATGATGGGAAGGTGAGCTAGAGAGAGCAGTAGAGAATTACAACAATCGCTAATAATGAGGATGAGCGTCGGGACCAAGACTTGAGAAGAGCGCAGTGGGCGCGGTCGAGGAGATTTCATATCCAGAGGCGAAATTCGCTGCGCTCGACCTCCGGGACTCCATTCTCGTCATTCTCTCCGGCGGATGGACTCGAGCGCTCGGACGAATTCCGCGCGAGCAAGCCTCGAAAGCCCACGAATCTTCCTCCCGTTCCCGAAATGGGAAAGCCAATTTTGCAGTGCAGGCCCCGGATGACATTGCGCGAGTGAGTGCCATGCCATCGTCGCTATCAATCAATGGCCTCCGGCAGCTGCATCAGAACGTACGGACAAGAGCGCAATCGGCCGCACAACAGCCGCAGGAACCAAATTCAAAGTCGTGCATTATGCCGGTACGTCGGGGGAACGAAGCGCGGGTCGGGGGACGGCGGGGGCATTTCGGCCGCTGCGATCTGATCCTCGGCCCTCACCCAACCGCCGAGGCATGGCGCGAGCGAAGAGATCGGACGGCCTGAACGAGCATGGATCAACAATCGGATGGTGATCGTAGCGCGACGCTGGCCGCCGAACGACGCGGGCGAAGCCCGGCCAGGCCCGGTGAGTCCGCCGTCGGTTCGGCTCGGCTCGTCCACGTGGCGATGCCGATCCGAACCCCGAGTCTCGAGCCGCAGCACTGGAGTCGAGCTAAATAAAGTAACCGAACCCCGCTCAGCGCTGGGCCAGAGATAAATCGGGGGCGTCGAGGCCAACGGAAGCAGCTCCCCCCACCGCAATCGTTGGCCTTCCTTTTTATTCCTTCGACACTTTTCTGTCCTACGGAGCTGTCCGGAGAGATCGTCCTCTGACTGACGAGCGAGTTGCTAATCGGTCAATCGAGCTAAGCGTCGACCAGTGGATGCCATATCCTTTATTGTAGGCTTGCTTGCGATCTTGCGATCTGGCGATCATGCCTTCTCCCTCTCTCCCTTCGGGGGTTACTACTTTTGAGGTATTGACTTTGGTGATGGAGTCGAGGGTGAGACTGTCTGTGAGCGACTGTGGTCACTGCCACTGGCCAGGCGGCGAGGAATAAACGGACGCGATATTGTAAAAAAAAGGAAACAGAGCAGAGAGTCTCCGCATCGTACGAGCAGACGAGAGACCGAACAGGCCAATGAGGAGACCTTCTCTACACAGCCAGGAGCAAGTGTTAGAAGGATTCGTAGTAAATCTTTGTCTCCACAACTTTCTCAGTGAGATTGCTGACAGCGTTTTCGGCATAGAAACCGGCACTGCGAATGTTAGCACACCCTCTCGGTGAGAAAGAGGTGACGATCATGCAAGTTCTCGTTGTATTGCTTTCGTCCGACCTCCGCACGGACATTTTGTTCTTTAACTGCGTGGAAGTTGTGCGTGCATCCAAGAGTACATTGTGTTCTTTGAGACTTAAAATCTGACGCATATTCAACCAAAGGTGGTATCAGAACATGTGAGAGAACGGTTGAAGTGTAATTTTAGGCAGAATATGCCAGGTTTCAGTCCAGAGCAGAGCTGGCAGTGCACCCACGTTGTCCATCAGTCGTCGCCGTCTGGCGAGGACATTTCCTCAACCGACTGCAGATATCTGCGCAGTCGTACGAGAAAGTTGTTATCTTTGTGGGTAAGAGGGAACAACGAATACACAGTCCGCTTCGTGATTTTCGGATCACGAACCTTTCCTGCCTGTCGTGCCTGTCAACTTGTTCATTGCAGTCGGTCTGGTCTGTCCACAAGTATCCATCCTCCACTTCATCCTATGCAGATGAAAAGTTATGACGTGAGACTCTGCTTACTGACTTGGCTGCTAATTTTTTTTCGGTGATATTATCCGCCTCAACTGGACACGATTCAGAGAGTTAAAGTTACCCGTACAACTACACATTTTTCAGCTTACAAATTCTCTTATTAACGCTGTACTTTCCTTTGCTCATAGTAATTACCTGAAATGTAATGGTACACCCTCCTTCGTTTATACTCACGCTTCTACAGTCGTCCCGTCACCGAGAATGTGCCATTTCCAGAACACAGCCGTGAAGGATCCCCACTGGAGGACACTCGAAGTCGTGAAGGATGAACAAAGGATATCTGCTTCGTCATTTGAACTGCTTCACGGCTTGAATGTGTTATAAGCATAAGCAGAAAAAGCTACAGCTCATAGATGAACTAGCAGGAAATTACGATGAACCCAAAAAAGTCAGTTTAATTTGAATCAGGCACATTTATATTCGTTTGAGACTCAACAACATCGAGTACGCTTCAAAAGCTGCAGTAAATCTATCTGGTACAGAACGGAGAGACTTCCGACTGGATTCCGCCAGACAAAACGCCTAGACTCGTAGTTCTCTACTCTACGTTAAACTTCTTCCCGATTCGATCCCAATATGAGCAGAGGTTTTTTTGAAGAGGACCAAGCTCAAGAGCCTCTACTCTTTTCCTAAAAGGAGGAAATTCCCCAAGACTAATTTAAATAGTAAATAACTCCTGCAATCATTTCTCAACTCCGAGTAATTTTTTGGGGGCGTAATTCTATCAGCTGGCAGCTTTTAGGTGCTTTCTAAACACCAGGGCCATCCGATACTGCAACTGTGGTATTTCGACCATTTACAGAACAAAAAGAGTCTTACTATGGGAGCTACTGAGTGCCAAATTTCAGCAGTGGTACAGTGACTGCTAAAAGCGCTCAGTACTTCAAGAAACCAGATCCCCGTCTACAAGAAATCGGAACTCAAAAGTGATGATATTATGGCATTTCGCACTCTTCAGCATCCTCGATAACCCGCCAAGGACTACTATCGCCGTTTAAATAGACCTTGGTACATAGATACCCAACCTTTGTTATACACAGTTTCCTAAATATTCTAGACTAAAGTACAACCAACCAGCTCAAGGGGCGTAAATTTCAGCTGCTACGCACAAGCTGAAAAGAGCCAGGGGAAGGAAAGAATGGGTGATATCACCCACGGATCGATGAGAATCGTCTCCTGTGAAACTGTCGTCTATCTCATCATACATTTCGTAGCGCTGCCAATCTCTCCTCCAAGTCATCAACTCCAGAACTGCTGGGCAACAATTCAGGATCACACAGTATAAGAACTCACCCTGCAAAGAAAGCGCGAGAGGCAGCAGCTAGTAAAGTAATTTCCTTAAGGGTAGCGCACAAGAATACCTGATAACATAGTACATAGTAAGCGTGCACAAGACAGCGAGCTGTTTCACTGATATCTTACCCTTGGATTTGCAATTGACTAGAACTCTAAGGGTCTGCGTCACAGTAGGGTCAGTCACAATTCATCGAAAGACTAACCAGATAATTTAGGAACTTGTTCTAGTAATGTAGATATGTTCACATGCAAAGCGTTCGATCTTACGTGTATGATGATATTTGCGATCGTAGCGCAGAAACCTCCGTTAGCATGAACTCCACACGATTTAACCTAATGAAGACTAAAATTCAGGGGCAAATACCGGCTGGCACTCGTACCTTCCTACGTCTTGCTTTTTCGATTTTCCTGCTACTCGCCCCTTGGGTGCAGATGAGAGTTGGGCAGCGATGTCAATACCAATTTCGTCAAGGACCTGCATTACGGAAAAGAAACCCCATTATATTCTAAGCAGATCCCGGTGAACGTAGACGCGATTGATTATAGATACAAAGGCAAGAGTTGAAACACTTGGAAAAGGAACCATACCTGTTGAGTAAGCTCTTCCGTCTCCTCCTCGGCTTCATCATTGTCTAAAGCATCGTCTATCGAATCAGACATCATCTCCGTCTGAAGAGTTGCAGCGTTATAACATAGAAACATTACCATATTAGAGCCGTTACACACCCAAAGTGTAAACATCAATTATATCAAAACCAAGAAACCAATCCTTCCTCACTTTTGCTCCTATGAGAAAATGCATCCCTACAATACAAAGACAAAAACATGAAAGTACTTCAAGCGACAGGGTTCTATCTAGCAACTCCCACTGTATTTTGAACCGCAGTGAGGTAGTTGCTCGGCAGAGAATATTTGAAATTAGGCATCATAGTTTTCCATGTCCCTTACCGTCATGTCCATTTGTGCTGACTGCCTCTGGAACTCTTGCATAACCTTTGCCTGTTTAGCAGGCTCCATTTGCTGCTCAAACACATCGAACAAACTTGGAATTAAAATCGCGTTGACCACCAACCAGCAAGATAAGCACACACAGGGATCAGCACCTAAGAGCCGATCTCTTTACCTCTACACATCCAGTAAAGGCATATGCCCAACTCTCCAGTTCCTAAAGAAAGACAGATCTTCTTCCATAACATGTGAGGCCAAATTGAAGAACAACCAAAAAATTTAGCAAAAATCGAGTTGTACCTTGTTCATCGCTGCCATGGCCTTGCTAGCTCCTTTCATGGCGCCTGCCACGGCGGTATTGGCATACATAGCCTGTAATCACCCGAAACGATTGCTTCAAATTTCAAGAGGACATGAGAGTCGAATGCAACGATTTCTTATTACTGTACTGCTAGCAGTATCTTCCAACGCAATTTAAGTGTTTTAAGTTGTACTCGGGTCAACTGATCCAAATTACTTCCTTAGCTTTCATAGTCAAGTGTGTGTGATTACCTGAGTGTGCGTCGCAACGCCTCGCATTTGAGCGCGACTGCCTTGCAACTTCGCAATCTGCTGTCGAAGGCGGATTAATTGTCGTGCCAATATTTTGGTTGCTGCCTGCACGAATTCAAGACACATGCGGTAAGATAAATTCACCTTATACTCCAGAGTAATGGAGAACAGGTACCGTGCTGACAATGTGAGCCACATAATAAAAACCTCACATGCCTTCCCTTCAGAGAACTCCAGTACGAGTCAAGTTCATTTATGATAATTCAACTTCAACAACTAATTCAACTCAAATCAATTCACCTCATTTCCAGTCTTCGCCGTTTTCTTAATTTCGGCGACAAGCTTCTTCTCCTGCGACAATCAGACAATAATAACATCAGTAGATGTTGTTTTGCACGAGGTTGATGATACTGAGAAGGTGTGGTCTCTCCGTGCACCTTGTGCTTACAATGTTGCTAGTTCAGACGAGTAAACCGCCTGGATGAAGAGACGTGCAAGTGTGAGCGACTCTAAGAGAAGCAGACCGTATGCTGGGACGAATGTAAAACGTGTGCTCTACATGGTATCTGAGCCGCCCATTCAAGATAATGTTGGAGTACACTCGACATTCATGCTTACCTCCAGCTGGAGTGTCCCGATTTCCCGTTCGATTCCTGCAAAAGAGACATTATCGAGCAATTGTAAGTACTACGTATCTCTGTCCAGCGTATTACATACTTTACCTCGTTAGCGCCGAGAAAAACCGAAATTCCTTCAGCCACGTACGTTTCAACCTCGCACTGAAAGTGTAACCTAAGTCAAGCAACGTGATTACATTTGCAGCATAAGGCAAGTCAGAACAGGAATGTCGACTTGTGTCTGACCTCGAGTAGCGACTGCCATCTCCCGCTTGCTTGTTCGCAAAGCATCTGCACGACAGCAAAGTATAGCAAAGGCTGTGAGAATCGAGTTTTCAGTCCTAAGCCTTGAGCTACATCAAGCACGGCATTTGACGGCTTCACCTCATCGACCGGAGGATCAACTCTTTCATTCCCGACCCACCCGGACAGATTTGGCTATACCCAGACTCTTTTGCAAATTCAGCGTCACTGTTGAACAAGGGTGCGCTATTATCCGAGAATTCGTTGCGTACGGGGAGTAGGCCTTCTGCTTAAAAAAAATGGATTATTTGGATATCCTCATCTAACCTAACGATTCGAGGCCCGGAAATTCGACCCGAACCCTTCGGGTCGCTGGTTTATTTGGCCGTGGATCTAGACTTTGTCTTTCCTTCGTCCTCAGGCCGTACACCAGGACAACAATTCTGGGTGTAGCCGGAAGAGGATCCGGTAATGAATCGGAGCTATGTCCGCGGAAATGTTGTGGTAGATGGTAACGCCCGCTTATTGGCGCTTCCTCCACCGGGTTAAGCCGAAGGATCTTAGAAAGATTAGTCGATTTGGTGAATGGAGGAATAAGAGCAATAAAATGACAACCAATCTCACAAGGCGTCACTGGGTGGCACGAGGAGAACAAAAATCGAATGAGTTCCTGCGGCATCGTGGTCTTTCCGAAAACAGAACGAGGAACTTGACAATACGAATCATCTGGTTCTCTACAATGCTCTCTCCATCATAATCTTGCGCGGAGGTTGCCAGAGTAGAAGCCGTCGTCCAGTCTTTCAGCACGGAGATATGGGCGTGAAACTGACGAGTGGTGCAGCAAAACGAGATTCGCACCTTTTGCATTGGTCTTCTTCTTGAATATGTTCATCTTGGTCTCCTTCAAGAGTTGGAAATCGAAGGCTTCCCGTGCCCTTCGTGGACAGAGTGGATCAAGATTACTCGGGCGTTTGCTTCGACAAGAACTGTCACGTAGAGAAGGGCATTGCAGCCTCACTTGATAAAATCTTGATGACTCCTACAAACGAAAAGACGCCGTCCTGCAATCAATCCCTCCTCAGGCCCTCGCTCTGGCTCCAGTCGTCCCGCGAGGCAAAACACGTAGCTGGTGCTTTCGCCTCGAGACCGCGACACCTGCAAACCTGCCGGACTGCAAGCAATTCTCGCCCGCTCTACCTCGCAAGCTGCCTGCCCGAGCCCGTGCCCTTCGTCTTTCCTATCTCCTGGAGCAAATCAGACAACAAAACGAGCCTGGCACAAACACCGTCGTCGGCCACAATGCGAGACTGCCAACTAGCGTAGAATCTCAAGCACTGGAAGAGTCGGCCTCGGGAGTCAACCAACCAAAACCGGCCGGGACTGCAAAATTATGGCATATAATAAACAATTCCTCCTCCGACGCTCGGCAGCACCGATTGCTTACAACGCGTTTTTCACAGAATCAGAGCGGTTCCTAAACTAAAACCATAATCACACCACGACCACCGCCCGCCCGCAATTATTCACGCCTGTATCTTCAATCCTGCTCTTGCACTCTCCAACACGCGAAGCGAAGGTGCTCGATTGGTCCGTTCGCAATCAGAGGTGTCCAAAAGTGTCCACCCCCTTCCCTTCCCAGTGCTCTGAATCTTCGCACTCTAGAATAGTACGATCCTCGTAAGCCGAATCCGGAGCCCCGAATTTCGATCGGAAGTCTGTCTCTCTGTCTGTGTGTCTGTCGATTCCCCACGGACAGAATGAATGGAATGCGCTGTGCATATCATCGAATTAGGGCTACATTAGTCATAGCTAAATGGCCCCCGGCACTCGAATCCTTTCCGCGAAGCCCCCGCTCTTTCCTGCTAGCTCCGATTAGCGGCCCACCGGAGGCGATCTCGACCGTCGAAGCTCCGCTAAGCGGGGCCGCATCCTATCCTCGATCGGGGGACTAAACTGGCTGGGGTGGAATGGGTTGGCTCTCCGAAGGCTCCACCCCCACCCCCCAGCACCCCCAGCCCCAGCCTCAGCCCCCACGTCATATAACCGTTGGGAAGCAAACGACCAGTTGTCGCGGGCGCATCGCCCGTTTGTCAATGCGTCCGGGTCGACGACTTCCCCGGCCCGCGCATCCATGGTCGGAACTTTCCGTTTGCAGCATCTGTTGGCGAACCTTCACCGTCAAGCGTCGATTCACCTGTGCCAGACCCGCGGTGGGCCCCGCGTTCCCCCGGAGCATGGGCTAAACATTGAATGCCCTGTCCTCTACACTTCGCTGGTAAATTCTCTGCGGTTTACAGCCAGGAGCCCCCAGGGGCCAGGGGCTGGGACTCGATCTCGTCGTATTCCCGGAAAGCGTATGGGGCAGAGTCAATTTGCGTCGCGATCATCGGATTCCTCCGAAATAGAAAGTTTTATCCTTTTTACGAATTTTCCCGTTCGACCGCACTCATTCTGTCAGCGCTCAGTCAGGGCTCACCTTTTAACGCTCAGCAGCCATGTAGCCGGTGCTCTTCTACGGGCATAATTGGTAGGCCTAGTAACGAACGAGGCCAGGGGATGATTGTAACTCAAGATGGCAGTAGCCTGATGACATATTCCCGATCCTACATTGTATCTAATCGGGAAGAGAATTTAGGATCGCAAGCCCACAACTACTTTTCAAGGATGGAGCCACATTTTTAGTTACAATAATCGTCTTTTCAACCATCAATTCAATCAATGAGCTCATCACCAAACTCTCAAATTCTTTTTGATCAAGTTTTGTTCTGTTGAAGATAGTGCATTGATTTAGGCAAAGGCAACAAATTGTCTTCAAAGTTTGAATAGTCATGATTTCCTTCCAAAAATATGAAGGAAATCATGAGGTAGAATCAAGCGCGTAAAATCATAACAAACTGGTATCAGAGCGGTGGAGACACACGACTAGAGCTGTGGATCTACCAAGAACAATGTCCGGATTGATGTTGAAGATTGAGAAGTTCACTGGAGGGAATAGCTTCAGTTTGTGGAAGATCAAGATGAAGGCCTTGTTGAAATCGCAAGACATATGGGCACCTCCGACCACAGATAAGGAGGCATGGATGTTGCATCATCAGAGTACAAAATGATGGAGTAGAAGTCACACTCAAACATCATGTTGTGCATATTGGATGACGTGATCATGAAGGTCGCAAGAGAGAAGACGACACCTGCGTTATAGCTCAAGCTGGACAGTCTCTACATGACGAAGTCACTCACCAGCAAGCTGATGTTAAAGCAACGGTTATTCACTCTACGGATGAATGAAGGAACGACCCTCAAAGACCACATTGACTGATTGAATTCAATTCTTCTTGACTTGCGTAACATTGACGAGAAGGTGAATGTTGAGGATGCTGCACTCCTTCTATTGATCTTGTTACCTTCATCATACGAGAACTTTGTTCAACCCTTCATTGTTAACGAGAACAGCATATCACTTGAAGAGGTGAGATCCGCTTTTCATGCTAGAGAGATGCGTCAGAAGGGCACAAGCACAAGCACGGAGGATCATGCTTGGGAACTGATGGTGAACAAAGGAAGCAAGAATAAGAAGAACAAGAAAAAACAATTTTTTGGTTCTAAGTTACTTGAGTATGTCTGCACTTGGTGCAAGAAAAAGGGCACTTAAAAAGAGATTGCCTGAAACAAGGACAACAAGTACAAAACGGATCGGCCGCCATGATAGAAAAGGGTAGTTCGTTTGATGATGATTATGATCTATCGATGGATGATGTCACACACCAGTTGGATGTGTGGGTTCTTGATTATAGAGCATCTTATCACATCTGCTCTAACAAGGAGTTGTTTTCAAGCTATTGCCAAACAGATGGAGGAGCCATTCACATGACGGATGGAACTGTTTGCAAGGTAATAGGAATCGGCTCAGTTAGATTCAAGAATCATGATGGGAAGACATGTACTTTATACGAGGTTAGACACGTACCACGCATCACAATGAATCTGATCTCTCTGAGTCTACTTGACAAGAAGGGTTTTAGCTTCAAAGGTGAACGTGGAGATATATGCGTCTACAAGAGTTTGAAGGTACTGCTCAAGCGAATCAAGGATAAGACTTTGTATGTATTGCAAGGTTTGGCAATCACAGGGTTAGTTGGAGTTGTCTTAGCCGAGATTCAAGAAGCTGATCAAACAAGGCTATGGCATATGAGTGAACGTGGAATGCAAGAACTTCACAAGAAAGGCTATCTCGTCGAGCACACGCCCAAGATCCTAGGGTTTTGTGAGCACTGCGTGATTGGAAAGCTACAGCATAGCAAGTTCCCAAAGGCGGTTCATAGAACGAAAGACACTTTAGATTACATCCATAGTGATTGTTGGAGTCCATCTCGAGTTGAGTAGATTGGAGGTCATAGATACTTTCTGAACATTATTGACGACTATTCAAGGATGACTTGGATATTTGTGATGAAGCACAAGAGTGATGCATTCCGCAAATTTAAGAAGTGGAAGACACTTGTGGAGAGTTAGAAGGGAAAGAAGGTGAAGAGGCTGCGCACGGACAACGGCTTGGAGTTTTGTTCATCGGAGTTCGATGAATTCTGCAAGGATCAGGGAATAGCTCGCCATCACATGGTTCGAGGGACACCACAGCAGAATGGTGTAGCGGAACGGATGAATCAGACACTTCTATTGAAGTCACGATGTCTGCTTTCGAATGCTGGTCTTGCTAGGCGTTTTTGGGAAGAGGCAATTTCTATGACTTGCTATCTTGTAAATCGGAGTCCTCATATTGGCATTGGATGCAAGATACCCATTGAGATATGTTCCAGAAAGGCAACGGATTATTCAAATCTAAGGGTTTTTGGTTGTGTTGCCTATTATCATGTGGCGATGGCAAACTAGAACCGAGGACGAAGAAGGAGGTATTCATGGGCTATGGAACTGGTGTGAAGGATTACAAGATTTGGTTGGATGGGAAGATTATACTTAGCAAAAGTGTAGTCTTCGATGAGAGTTCAATGTTGAAATCTAATACCGTGCAGATAGAGATTGGAGATGAAAAGAAGAAGGTGGAGGCAAGTTCAGAATTGAGTGATCCTAAAGATTCTGAAGCCCTTGATCCATCACCGCCAGAAACGGAAGAGCAAGAATCTGAAGAGTCTGAAGAGGATATACCACCAGAGGAGTGAGTACACGAAAGTCTTGCTGCACGTCGCACACGGAGAGATAAGAAGCTGCCTACAAGACTAGAGAAAGACTACTTGATGGGGTATGCCTTGCAAGTAGCCGAAGATGTGGAAGATGAGCCGTCTACCTATCAGGCCGCGATTACTGGTTCTTAGTCAGCACAATGGATTGCCGCTATGGAAAAAGAGATGGAATCTCTTAGCAAAAACCCAACATGAGAGCGTGTACGATTTCCACTAGGGAGAAAGATAATCACTGGGGTTTTTAGATGAAAGGAAGGAATCACTGCAACGGAAGGTGTCAAGTATAAAGCAAGAGTAGTTGCAAGAGGGTTCAGTCAGAGAGAGGGAGTTGACTACAACAAGATATTCTCATCGGTGATCAGACATATTTCAATCAGGGTGCTACTAGCAATGATTGCACACTAGTACTTAGAGCTTGAATAACTAGATGTGAAGACAAATTTTTCTACATGGAGATCTGGAGGAGGAGATATATATGAACCAACCGGAGGGGTTTCAAGTTCCTGGAAAAGAAGACTACGTGTGCAAGTTGAAGAGGTCATTGTATGGACTAAAGCAGTCTCCGAGTTAGTGGTACAAGTGGTTCAATAGCTTCATGCTGAAGATAGGCTATCGGAAGTGTGAGTATGATTGCTACGTGTATCACAAGAAGTTGCATGATGGATCACACATTTTCCTAGTTCTATATGTGGATGAGATTCTAATTGCAACTCAGAATATCAAAGACATTAGAGAACTAAAGAGGTCTCTCAATGTGAAATTCGAGATGAAGGATTTGAGAATTGCTTGGAAAATTCTAGGAGTTGAAATCTATAGAGATAGAGAGAGTAGTAAGCTTTTCTTGTCATAGAAAGGTTACATCAAGAAGATCTTACACAAATTTGAGATGCAAACTGCCAAGTCTATATATACTCTTATGGAGTCTAACATCAAGCTAGGAATGTACACCATTCAGACCAAGTAGTAGAAGGTGTACATGTCCAAAGTTCTAGATGCTAGCGCAGTTGGAAGCCTGATGTATGCTATGGTCTATACTCAATCAGACATAGCATTCGCTGTTAGTGTGGTTAGTCGTTTTATGGCTCATCCAAGTAGGGAACATTGGCAGGCCGTGAAGCGTATATTTAGATATCTCAGGGGTACATCAGACATTGGCCTATGCTATGCGGCTAATGAAGATATCTTGGTTGCTAGATTCTCAGATTCAGACTATGCAGGTGATATTGATAGTAGGAGATCGATGATAGGATATGTGTTCACTCTGGGAGGTTCCGTTGTGAGTTGGAAGGCTACGCTACAGCCGACGGTGACTCTGTCAACCACGGAAGCGGAGTACATGACTTTGACAGAAGTAGCAAAGGAGAGAATTCGGTTAAAGCATATGGTTAACAATCTAGACCTACATCAAGATCAAGTTAAAGTTCATTGTGATAGCTTAAGTGCAATATGTTTGACGAAATACCAGGCGCATCATGAGAGAACGAAGCACATCGACGTCAAGTATCATTTTTTGAGAAACGATAGCAGGATTAAGGTAAAGAAAGTGAAAACAGCTGACAACACCGCGGATATGTTCACGAAGCCGGTTCCGAAAAACAAGTTCCAGCAATGCCTGGAATTGCTCAACATTATGAGCTAGTGAGGTCCTTCGGAGCCATGACGTATCCAGGGGGTTCAGTGAGTCTCTGTGACGGGAGACACTTGGATACAAAGAAGAAAAGCTTTATTTACGACAAGAGGAGCAACTGTTGTTGACGAGGAATTCAAGTCAAGGTGGAGATTTGTTGAAGATAGTGCCTTGAATTAGGCAAAGGCAACAAATTGTCTTGAAAGTTTGAATAGTCAAAGCGTTGAAAGTCATGTCATATTTTTGGAAGTAAATCGTGAGGTAAAGTCAAGCACGCAAAATCTTAACATGTTCTTCAATGACATTTTGATTTTGTGCAAAAATTCCATCAAACCACATATAGCATCTTTGTAACCAAGCATTGAACAAAAAATTATCAAGAAGAACATTGTAAATATTATTGTGAGCGACATGATGTTCAATCTTCAACATCAAGAGTACAATGATGAAGAGTATGATGCAAATAACGAATCTGCATTTAGTAGTTAACAACTTATTACTTGAATAACGTTTTTGGATTTTCTTCCCAACTATCATTCTCTTGTTTACTTACATGAATGTTGAATTCTGATGTCTGATCGCCATAGAGAAATATCATGTCCACACTAGTGAGCAATTCTTTATAGTGTTTTTTCTTGATTAATTAACTTGTCTTTTTGGATTGAGGTATGACTAGTGTTTCTAATGTTTTTTATTTCTTGTTTAGCAGAAACTAATCGAGCTCCTTTTGATCTACCAGAGGCCGAGGCAAAACTCGTAGCGGGCTACAACGTAGAATATTCGTGGGAACTCATCACATGACAAGACGGATTGATTGTGTTGTTATAACCATCTTTAGTTAGTTAGAACTAAATTAGAGGTTAATTTAAATGTTGATATAGATACTTTAATGTGCAATAGTCATAGCTGTCACGTCAGCGATCCGCGCTTGGTAGGAAGAGAATAAATGTGTTAGTTGACATGGACACGTTAGTGATCCGTGTTCTTGTTATGTAAGGATTGAGTGTGTTAGTTGGTATCGTCACGTCATCAACCCGTGTGCTTGTTAGGATTATCAGCCATGTCATTCATCCACTACAAGTGAAATGGATGATGGAAACAAAATCTTATTTCTTTGTACTTGTTTGTGATAGCTATATATAAAAGAGAGTAGAATCATTGTTGGTATCTCTCATCTTGAGAGTTTATGCTTCCATCTTCAAGTGAACTTTTCTCTAAACCATAACGTTACAATTGTTGCTCGTTGCAACGTCGTGATGTATAATTCAGTTTCTCCGCTTTAAATTTGATGTAAAGATTTTCAACTAATAAATAATATCATCAAATAATTATATTTTTTTAACATGATTGGATTTAAAACTTTTTTAACATGTGAGCATATGCTTATCATGGAAATGCAAACCACATTCTTTTGTGTAATTAATCATTTTCATTCAACGTAAAAGATCATCGGATGTTTCAAAATTCATCATCCATAGTTGCTTATTGGATATGAGTAAAAATAATCAACTTCCGCTCCATCTTGTTTTTTGTGAGTTGCAATTCTAACTAAGCATCATTTCATCATTGTGACTCTTTGTTTTGTTTAGATATTAACTACTTTTGTGCTTCAAAGAGAAATGATTTGGAAAATCTTATCGCATTATTCATTGACGATCTATGAGTGATTGACTTGCTCAATGCACAAATGATTGCAAATGTCAACTTATCGACTCACATCATTCATGGGTGTTACGTAATTGCTATGTCTAATATATAAAAATTTCTAGTTGGTTTTACAACTCTGACTTTGTTTTTTCATTGTCTGATTATCGACATCAATGCAATGATTGATTTTGGTTCTATTTTTGATGCTAGTGCATGAACTTGTCAAGCTATCTCCAATCAAATTATTTTGAAATATTGAACAGTTGTTGTCATCCGCTTAGATTGATGTTGTAACGATGAGCACAAAATCGTAATACATGTTCACATATATAAACAAGTTTAAAAATACGACATCGATCTTCTTTTCATCAATTCATTTTTTAGTATGGTTGATTTTACTTGATTCTTGAATCTAATGAATAATTGTGATGTCCTTACAACGTTTTTTTTTAAAACCAATAATCTAGAGTGCTACTCTATGATCTAAAGTTGGAAGAATGATTTTTTTGCAAACGTTTATCAAAAGAAAATTTAGATCAGAAGAAATTATACGAACAAAATTTATTGTTCATTGTTCAAATCTTACATAAAATTAATGCTAAATAAAACATTCAGCTCATACCTAAACAAACCATTCATGATGAGTTTAAATCAAATTAATTTAGATACTTCAATCGACTGCCTAATATAAACATATTTGGCTATATGAATTTTCTTGAAAGAAAATTTGACTAATGAATCATTAATAAATGCACACTTCATGTTAGATGCATACATAATGTCAATCTAACTTTTAAAATACACTTTGTCATATATCATTTTAATGTCCATATGAATGTATCATTCAAATAGTAGTCTAGATATTAAAGTAATCTCAATATTTATCCTTTTGTATTTTTAAATGTTGTTTTATCATCCCGAAGATTATTTTATGATTTGATTCATTATTATAAAATAATATTTTATATAAAACAAAAGATAGTAAAACTTTTGTCAAAATAAAAATAAATTATAATTTTATCATATAAGATTTTTTTTTAATTTTTGTCATAATTTTTTCTCCATGATTATACTATTAAAAACTGCCTAAAGATCTAACCTATAGTTTAATTAGATATCCGTTATCTATATTTAATATTATGACATGATAGTAATATTTGTGTGGTTTTTCTAATATGTTTAGCTCAATCTATCCAAGCATCCATGTTCACATACTTGTATTCATATATATCTAGCATTTTTTATGTGCAATAATGCTTCATAAATTTAAAAATACACATAAAAAAATATAAATGTAAAATATTTTTAAGAGTGAAATGTTTGCAAATAAATTCACATGAAAATATAGTTAATAGATCACATGTAACTTGTTTACACAAACACCAAGATTTACAATCTTTAAGAAGATTTTTTTGAGATCTAGTGGATATGTAATATTTAATTTCCTTATAATAAATGTATACAAAATTAAATAAATAAATCTTGCTGTATTTTTAAGTAAAATAGAGATTTATTACTCAATCAGATGTTTAATTATACAATTATATATTATTATTATTGCTCTCTAAATAGCAACTATAACTGATACATCTATCAAGCATAATGTATGGTTCGTTTTCTTTTCAATTTTGAAGTTTTTTTCATTGAGTAATTCATTTTTTGAGATGTTACATAAGTATATATACACCATAACATATGTATTCAAATTTTCGATTAAAAATTTGTTTAAACCAAAAATTGAATTATTTTCAAAATATAAAATATCATGACTGATGTTTAATTCTCAAAATTATCTCATGAAATATGAATCTCGCAGTTGGGATTCACATTCAATACCCCTCAGTTTGCCACTCTGATAATGATTATAATTTGAATACAGAGTACTCGAAACCAATTCAACACATTGCAAATAGAAAATATTCGTTTCAGTTCAATGGAAATACTTAAGTAAAATATAAAAAAATCATTGATCAAACACAAAAATTGATATGTTATCTTATCATCATCATTTAGCTTAAAAATAATAATTTATGAAATTCATATCGATTAGAAGAGAATAAAAAGTTTCAGTGTCATAATGCATTTTCATATCCCCATTTTGAACAATGCCACGACGCGTAAAATTTTGTACTTCTTTTTACTGCAAGAAGTACAAAATTTTACTTCTTACGCGTTTTCACTATAAAGTAAAACATTGTCCGTATTGTATTGTATCGGCTGCAAGTAAAGATTCATAACCGATAAATTACAGTGGAAAAAAAAGGTTGAATGATCATGTGCGCAAAATTATCCTATTAAAGTAGATCTGGAAACACTTTTGAGTAGCCTTCATAAGCTTAGGTATTGAATCTCCAAGAATGGGTGTACCACACCGGTCAAGGTTAAGGTGGGTAGAGTTTGAGTGAAATACTTTCCCGGACTAGACGAAGAAGTACGGAGTTTGGTAGTCCTTTGGAAAAGTGCCTCTGCAATTGCTTCTCTTTACCTAGGGACCACCACATGAGACAGATGAAAACTCTATTGACTTAAATAAAAAAAAAGGCTTCAATTGAATCCCAGCAGAAAAGAGAATGATGGTAACGATGATGAACTTACCTCGTAAAAACGCATCTGTGGGAGTCGGATCATATGATGTCCTCCTGTTGCCTGTTATGAAGTGACAACAGTACCGCTACTGCCCTCGTACGTCTTTAGAAACTATATGTAAGCGTTATCACATTCAGAGACTTTATCTGTTCTTTGATTTTGATTTGAGTTTGTAGGCACGAAGTTCTCAGCTTTCATTTTTTTCGTTTTCTCCTTCGGTATTGTACTGCTGATCGACAGGACTAACCAATTTCCTATACTGAGAGTTCGAAATTTGGGAACAATGTATCAATACTTGAGATCACAACTCCATGAAATTCGACAGTCTGCTGCAGGACGTCAGTTCGTCCCTACGACTCAACCTTGCCATACAACAAATGGCAAAACGAAAGAGCTCAATCATAGCGAGGACGAGTTCCACACAGAGATTAGGATGAACAAACAGAAGAAAAAAAATTACACAGGCAAGATAACCTATTGGTACCAACCACTCACAGATTAGATGTGTAACGAAGCACTCTAAGGTTTCGTGGAGCACATCAGTCGTTAAACCTTCCATCATATACGTACAAATCGGTCATATCTCCTCCGTGTTGCATTTATCAAAAAAACAGAGCAGATTAGGAACACTCTGTGTTTTCAGGGCTTGCTCATATATTGCCAAGACAAGAACTTGTCCGTACCAAATCATTCACCATCAGAGACACCGTCAGCCGATACAATACTTTCCTCATTACTACCCCAGACAAAAATGAGTGGACTAGCTGGATAGTTTATAAATACGAAGTGGATGTGAAGCATGCAAGCGCTCTTTCCATCCAAGTGACAAGCGATGGCAGCACTCCGTCAAAAACCTAACTACTTCTCGGATATGCCATGGCAATAAATAGGGCTCCAAGATCCACCTGTGTTTACTGTCCTGCATACGAACCAAAAGCACACAGAAGTGTATCTAACTCCGATATTGGTATAGCTCAATTATATTACACAAAAGCAAACACTCTCCCGACAGAGCAAGCTAGACCATGAAGGTAAAATTTCAACCTGCATCTGGGTTATCGGCAGATACTTTACAGTGACTTGGTCCCTTCAGAGGACAAATTGCTAAGGAGACAGCTGACTGCATATTAACTTTTCGGCCCAAGTAACTCTTGAAGTTTGACAACTAAGTTGCTCAACCTCCCCTTCGGAAGAGCAGGGGTGTTGAGGGCTTCAATAGCTGCTGCTGACACGTCAGAGTTAATAAACTCGGACAACGATTTTTCTGGAAAAACAGATCGGTAAAGTTCAACAACCGCGACAGAAAACTGAATTACCTCTGCCCGTTTAGCAGCTTTGGTTGGGGGATTCTTCAAAAGACTTAATACCGTGGCACTGAGAGAACCAATGTGCGGCTTCAGGAAATCGGCTCTGGCCTTTGCCTCCTCCGCAGTTAAGAGCTTGGCTTTCCTTGCAAACTTCTTTCCACTGAGCCCCAAAATCGCACTTGCGAGACGAAGCGCTTCAAGCTGCAAATGCTCCAAGCGAGCACTGACACACTTCTCAAGTATAGATCCAAGCAAACAATTGCCTAACGAGGGGAATCGAGTGCAGCACTGTTTGAAAAAGTCGGATGACAATTTGCACTTCTTGTGCTCAAAGAAGTCTTCTAAAGCCAGCAAAAGTATCTCCTCCACTTCCTTGTCCTGTTCTTTGTCGGCGTTCCCTAGGATCACTTTGAGAAGCCAGTAAGTGCAATTTTCAGCCAAGTTACAAACCCTTTTGATGGTCGAGCGAGAAGCCAATTTCAAGGCTTTCTTCAATAGGTCTTTCAATGCAGATTGGTCAACTTGTGAGCTCTTGGGATAATGCTTGCCTTTGAAGAGCTTCTGTAGCAAAATGGAAGCTACTCTGTCTGCTACCTGTGAGTTCCCATCTGTCGTGCAGGAATTCACAAAAACATGAAGCAGGGAGGGCAGAATGGTGAGAACCAACAGATTGTCGGACTGCTTCTGCACAAAAAACTCCAACAAGGCGAGGACCCTAAATTTGAAATGCATCAACTGTGTTTGCGCATCTTTGGCATCGTCTGTTCCATCCGTGCCACCCTGCTTCCGATGTTTCAAAATTACTGCCAAATGCTTGTCAAACTTGAACATTGCCTCATCGTCCAAATCCGACATTTCAGAGTCCTCATCTTCTTCGTCATCGTCTTCGTTCTTCATGTTCTTTGCATCCCCTAGAACACCTACCACACCGCCGCCATCCTTCCGAGACGTATCATCGTCCTCTTGATCACTGTCATTCTCATCTGATCCGCCGTCCTCAGCATCGTCGTCATCGCCATCTTCACCCATCTCGTCGTCACTATCTTCGACATCCACGATCTCCTCGTCGTCATCTTTCACATTTTCAACCTCAACAAGAGGTTTGTGTCGACGAGGCGTAGAATTTTTCTTGACAATGCGCAACATGTCCGCCAAGCCAGAGCTTGTGAGTTCACCACTGAAGGACTTGAAAACCTGAAACGTAATCATGCACACGGTTAGCTTCTCCAAAACAATGATACAGGTAAGGTCCAGAAAACAGTCAGCCGTTCGTCAGCTCTCACCTGTTCAGCAGCGAGACGGACAGGCGCTGACGACTCAGCAAGTAAGGACAACAAGAGATCCACTAAGACGTCCATGAAGGCGGGTGCCTCAGATCCCTCTTCGGTATCTGAGTCCACATCCACGTCGACGAGATCCCCAAAAGCCTTCTTGCAACATATGCTGATTTCAGGGGCGGATTCGACGGCAACATTTGGTGTCAAAAGAGATTCGAACAGCAGCTGTACGATAATAGATATCATTGCCTGCAGCCTCTCCTTTTGATCCGCTGATTCCACCCCATCTAACTGCAAAGAGTAACCACGTGTTTGTCAGTGACAAGTATGTAAATTTTCACAATCTTCGTGCAAAACCGATGGGATTGGCTTGAGTATGCGGTTAAAACGTACCGCTGTACTAAGTTGAAGCAAAACAGACTTAAGCTTGTCGACTGATTGTTGCTCATTCTCAGTGAGAGGCTTCGCAGGAGTCAATGATGGCATATGTTTCATGACCAGCTCCTCTACCACAATATTAACTTTGAGTTTTGTCCACGCTTGCTGTGGAAGAACACGTAAAAGATCCATCGCCCATTTTCTACGACCATTATCACCAGCTTTCTCATCGTCACTACCTTCCCCGTCCGATGCATCTTCAGCTGGAATTTTTTGCTTCTTAGAGCCTGTTCCTACACCCCGAACAGCACCTTCATCGATGTTCTCCGCAGTACTGCAAAAATCTACAAGTGCCTTGTAGAGCGTTTGGTAGCTGGAAATTGTGGACAGACCAGACAGCAACGTTCTGATAGACTGGGTCTTCGTAAGGTGATCAAACTTGCCATCACTATGTGACTGGAAAGCCAAAATAAGTTGTATGCATCGATCTTCGCCGGATTTAGCCCACAAGCACATGTCTCCAATACACTGCTGCGCAGCCTTGAAGAGAAGGTTATCCTTCGAGGCCGTAGAGTCCAACAGGCAAGTCACAAAGTTCTTTGACAGAATGTACTTCGCGTATGTAAGAGCCGGTAACCTTTGAAGGAACAAGAGCGCCAGCTGCATTGCCAAATGCTTCCTTTCGTGCGACGATGTGATCAAAGCACCTTCCACAACTACACTCCAGAACGTGGCTATCTTCGTCTCCAAGTTTGACTCAGTGTCCAAGCTCCTCTTCTTCCTACCCTTCTTACTGGGTTTCAAAAGTTCAGCTTGACTTGATTGTTGAGCAAACAGTATCTCCAGCAGATAGTGCCACACGGAGTGGACCCTGGGATGCGAACATGAAGATTCCTATACCCACCCGATAGGTTAGCTTTAAGTCAGAAGAGACCGGAGAGACGGCCAAAGTTTCAATATGTGCAATTACAACATATCTAACCGTCCTAAATACAGCATTATCGGACTGCTTACTTGAAGGCATGTCACAAGACGTGGAAGATTCCTCGGTTCGAACATGTCACCGAAGTTGCCGGACTCGGGAATAAGTGAGCAAGAACTTCGCACGGAAGGGGGCAGCTTTTTGTGAAGCCTCAAAGCTAGGAGAAGAGTGTCCGGACTGAAACTGTCTGACTCTGCGCTCATGAACTCCGAGAATAGTGGTGCAGCACACAGACCCTTTTCCAAACCCTGAGCTCCAAGCTGAACGAGACGTACAGAAGACTTTGGTAAAGCTTTGAACTGCCATCAATTTTACTCAAATGACTCGAACGATTCCATCACTTCAAACTTCAAAGACGTGGCCCACACAAAATATGGAGTATACAACTGAAACCAAAGTCCTAGAAATGAGACCCTATCCCGCCAGAAGACGGCGCTGTATCTACCTTCTCTCCAAGCTCTGCGACCAGGTAGGTTGCAGGTTCACGAAGAAAGGCTTTCTTCTTTGCGAGCAAAAGAAGTTGTTGCGTCACTTCTTTCGCAAGCTCTTGCTGCTCATCCATACTTGCTTCTCCGATGAGCCTGGCTGATCGTACCAGAGCTCCATAAGCAAACAGCTGACCCAACAATGCATCCCTCACCTCCTGCAACAATCGACCGCAACAAGACATAAGACATGGCAAAGAACGATGACAGCCACATGAAAACCAATATGATCAACTGCTCAGTAAAAGATACAGAAAAGACCTACATTCCTAGCCATGAGATTCCAACATGTCCAATGTCAAACCTGTTTCCCTTGGAACACTTAAGTAAAAACTAAGTCCACAATTTGGATAAAGAGTCTTACAGGCCCTTTCATGGATGCACCAACTTCTAAATTCTTTTCGATCAACTTGATGACCGCTGCACCCTCAATACATGGTACCGTTCCCAGGACGGCAGCAAGCGCCAAGGCAAATCCTTGTCTTGAACTCTGTTGATATACATGCCAACATAAAGACTCATGTCAAAAGGCAGCAAATTCAAGTACTTTGGGGAATACAAAACAGCGCACCCAAAACTAGGTCGATGGTCGACAACTGGCAAGGAGACAAAAAGAAGAAACTTCAAATACCGAAAATTCACAATGCGAGACACACCTCACGAGATGAGGCAACACCACGCACAAGACGTCGCAGAGCATACTGCACGGCGGGAGAGCAATCTTCAAGTCCATCTTCTTCAACTTTTCCTTCTCCTAAAATTACGGCCTCAGCAGCTCTCTCCTCCTTGCCCAACCCTGAGCTTTGACAGTGTAAAACGAGGATTTAGCATCGCAAACAGCATCTTCAAAGTTCATCTCCTATCCTACCAGGCCGAATTCAGCACCGACAATGACATAGAGTGAAAATCCCCTCTACGACTGCCTCCACAGTTGAAAACGATCTCTTACCTCTTTCCTCGTAGTCCTTCTGAGCAGCTGTAAGCTCCTTGACAAGCGCCAGAGACGCTACTTCTCTAACACTTGCTTCTACGGATGAGAGATTCCAGTAAATTTGCATCCCCACCGGCTCGGGAGCAGCTCCCGCTTTCACCAAAAGACTAGATCCCTTCAGTGATACGACTGAAGTATCGCCGGCGACATTACTTGGCAGAGCAGGACTTTCATCGGCCTTCACCTTCGGCCCTTTCTTCTTGTTACCCTTCACGCCTTTGCTTCCTTTCACAACAGGTTTAGCATCTACTGCTGCATCTAAGGAGCCGTTGCTCGAGGTAGATTTCTCCTTCTGGACGTGTTTCTTCTTGTGTTTCATCCTATCCCCGCCTTCTACTCCGTTCCCAGGAGATTTGATCTCGTGAACCTTCTTATTTGCAGCTTTCGATGGGGAAGGAGAAATGTCCACCTTCATCTTCTTCTTACTCACTTTCCCAGGACTGCCCCCATTGCTGAAAGGCTCCTCTTCTGAAGCAGGTGCCGCAGTACTTCCATTGCTAGAGGGCAGGGGAGCCTCCACCCTCGTCTTCTTCTTCATCACGCCGCTCTTCTTGCGTTCAACCGCTGCTGTGAAGGGCTTGCGATTCATAAAGAATCTGCTAGCACAAGAACCTACACTCTGTCGGAAGCAGAAAAGAGAAGCAAAATGTTCACTTCAGAACTCGCAAGCGTGGTCGGATGGGATTGGCGATTCACCCATAAATCCTTATATCCTTGTATCAAGGAGTTCAACAAGAACCCACACCCAGAGGAAAAAGATCATCCGGCCAAGACGTTTCCAGGAGTTTAAGACTTCCATGGCGCAGGCATTTATTCGAGCGGATGAACATTTAGCAGGGAGGAAGAGAACATGTGTACACGCCACATTCGACTTCATGAATAAAATAACCAAGGGCAAAATATTTGCCCAATTCAGCACCAGGAGTTAATCGCGCTCAGGAAGAGAAACATGATCCTTGATTGGAAACCTCCCCCACCATCCCCGACAACTCGTTCGCTGCTCCGAATCCCTTCAAAATGAGCGCGGTTCTCCACTCAACAAGAAATGCTCTGGCTGAGAAGGCGAGGATGAGGTTTACAAGAGCGCTAGCTTAAAAAATTAAAATCTCTAAGATCCGGCTTCCAAAGAGGACGCATGATGGGCCCGGCTCAGTTGCAGATGGCGACAATAGCTACCCAAGCCCTAACCCAAAGACAACAATCGTCTGTGTACAACAATCTGATTGACAAATTGAGCTGATTTCACTGGAGGCAACGTAGGCATCGAGAAATTGGAACCAAGATTCACAGCAACACAAAGCGGCCTGTTTGCACATATGATTCACTTCACTTCAAGTTTAATGCTGCAGAGATCTAGCATAACCACTCGTTCCTAGTGATGATATGAGAAGATTGAACGCAACAATCCCCTCTTGGGAATCAACTCGTACTAGTCGTGGAGATTTCCAGGATTCCTGCACAGAGCGGAATCTGGACCGACTTCCCCACCCGGCAACACCACCTGCACCGGCTTTCTGGCACGGCATTTCGACCGTAAAACACCTCCCGTTCGTACCAATGTACACAATTCCCAAACCTTGATCTTTTCCTTCAAATTCAAATATAATATTCTCTTGTACATGTAGATTTTCTTCCGCGGTCCGTGTGTCAGGCAATTATACGTATGCAATATTCCAGTTGAGGTAGAATTCACCTACCTCGATTCGCGATCACATTTGGTCGAAGAAATCACTCCGACAGAAAACTGTCCAGGCGGGCAGGAACGCTTGGGAGGCAGTCGCAACTCCGCGAAATTCCAAAGATTTCGCGTGTAGCAACAAAATGAACTTAAGGGTTTAGGGCTTAGAAAGCAAATTAGGGTTTTTTTGCAATACCCGACCACGACCTAGACCCCTGGACAGTGAGTTTGTATCCCATCCATATATGATATTACCTGTCCCATTAATGTTATCGGTAAAGCTCCCTATATTATAATCCTCGAAATCCTCCCAATCACCGCCTTTCATACCTCCCAAGCGCGGTCCTCTTTTTCCCAAAAATAACAAAATTGCCTAAACCCAAAATCCCCGAATGCTGGAAATAATCACAGAGGGAAAAACTTGCAACTTCAACCACACCGCTGACATATATGGAACTCCCCACCGAGATTTGTTATATCAAAGACACAGTGAGCCCCCAAACTGGACGACCCGTGTATCGAAATGCCCAAGATTCGAAGTCCATAACTTGGTTCCCAATAGAGGAGCCGAAGTCCAGAACGATTCGTAGGTCGAAGATTCAAGGTTCGAGGTCGCATAAGGAAAATAAAAATGAGGAGAATAACAATATTTTGAGATCTGATGTCGCTCAAAGGAGTGGAAAATAGAAGGCGAGAACGTACATGGAGCGCTTGTCTCGCTGTATGTTAGCGCTTCCCTTGTAGATGTTAAGGGCGCTCCCGTTCTACGGAGAAGAAATCCGATTTTCGGAAATTTGGCGAGGATTTCGATCTCGTGCCACATTTCGATCTCTGGGCGAGCGAGAGCAGCTGGTGGGCTTGCCTGTGGCGTGGGGACACGGGCCGCAGCAGCGAGGTCGTGTTGGATTGTCGGCCTTCTCACCATTATGCGAAGCGTATTCCTTGAGTCACTGTAAGAATCAGCAAAAGCGTGGAGTTCTGCTCTCGCATGGAGGCTGCATTCTTGGAAACGACAGCCACTGTGTACTCTCCCATCGCCGATTTTCTTTAGATTGCGAAGGAGCTTCGAGTGTTCAGTTTGATTGCCGTGGAGTGGAGCCCGAATCGATCAGAAGAGGCTTTTTGGGTTTTTCTCTTATAAGGCTGTAAGCAGAATAATGCTTGTTGTAGGATGGCTAGGAAATGTGTAAATCGGTAGAAGGTTCTCTTTCGACATCACAAGCGGACATGCATGCGAATGAATCTCCCTAACTGCCACTACGACAGAACGAGCCGAAGAATTTTTGGGGGTGAAGTATCAAGGTTTTCCGTAGCCTTAAGGAATTGAACATCATGAAGCTCAAACAGCTAGAATCGATACTGGGAGATGTTACCCAGTTTTCAAGCCCGAAGGTACGTGATCGCCTCCTACAAATTAATTTATGAAATTCCCTGATATCGAAGCCGAAGAGAGGACTCGTGTTGCGAAGAACTAAGATGAGAGACTCCAGACTACACACTCGGAACTAATGCTTTCCAAATCTGCATTTTGTCGTCAGATTGACTTGGAGCAATACCCGACAGGCCCGCACATCGCAAGCCGACTGATCTACACGGTAAGAGGAACGATTGATATCAATTGTGGAAGAGGAACAAACAGTATGTCACCGTAGGTCAAATTTTCAAAGCTATCATCAGGTCTTTATGAGAAAGTCGTACTCCTTACAGGCGGAGAACTCGTTTGGAGATATCTCCGATAAGGTGGTAGCTGATTTTGGGTGTGGGTGCGGCACGCTGGGCATTGCTTCTTCGCTGTTAGAAGCAAGGTAAAATCCCGAGCACATAGCGTCTCTCTCTAAGGTCTCGGCTGGAAACAGTTCATATTTTCTTTTATATTCTGCCCCACAGGCCTTTCTACAAAATTTTTGCGTGGACTTGTGTGCGATCCATATGGATGTCTTACCACGTACAAATGTGTTTTTGAGATTGCTGGTCAGATCACAAACCAAGCCATCTCTTGCCTTCAGGGAGGATGTTTATGGCTACAATACAATCAGTTTGAAGACATTTCTGCCTAAATGCTTTGCGAAACCAAATATTCGCAGAGTTTTAACTCCTATGGAATTGAAGTAGCTAAATCACTTTTGCTGTTTGAATTGGGCACCCTACGAACTAAAGCAATTGTGTATCTCTTTCCTATCACCACGGCACGTCGCAAAGAATGACTAATCTTCAGCTCCGCAGTCATGTCATTGGTGTAGATATTGACTATGAAGCTTTGGAAATGGCGCAGAGCAACACTTCGGAGCTAGAGGTGAGTTCATCAGTAATTCTTGTCCCTGTACTTGGTCAGATATAGCAACTACTTGTCTAGAAATTCTTGAATTTGGACCTTGGTTTGAGAATTGCAATGTATCGGGAAGTCCAACAACCTGAAGAAGATGCTGTCTTGAGCATAGACCTTTGATTAGAGGAACATCCTCCGTGTGGCTGCAGGGAATACTAAGGATAAGGCAATGCTGAGATTGTAGAGTTGTGTTTTCGGACTTGCCATAGGTGGAGATGGACTTCGTACTGGACAACATTCAAGACCTTGCCTGGCGAGGTAAGCACTAACTGGCTTGTCTTTTAGCAAGAACAGCTTCGTCTTGTTGATATCGGAAATGGTCAGCGTAGAACAAAAGTGACACGATTATCTGCCTGCACGCTGACACGAAGGAGTGTGTCTTCATTTAGGTCCAGTGGTCGATACCGTTGTCATGAATCCACCTTTCGGAACCAGAAGGAAAGGTGCCGATATGGAGTTTCTGGCAGCAGCTTTGAAGGTAACTTTCATTTCTCAACTAGTCACTTCTTACAATACTCTGATCTGAATGCCAATTATTCTTTTCCTTGTCGATTGGGGTTTCGCATGGTTGAACCGTGGTTGGTTTTGGCTGATTTTTTTCTCTCGTCGGCGCATGCAGTGTTCCAAGACGGCTGTTTACTCCTTGCACAAGACTTCCACAAGAGAGGTAAGAAGAGTCTCGCTATCCGTGTGGTTTGCGTCTGTTCCGTTCCACTTCTTTTCAGTTTCTCTGAGGATCACACTATCTTTTCCTTGTTTAGCATGTACGACGAGGAGCTTTGAGGGACTTCAAGGCAAAGACAGCAGAAGTTTTATGTGAGGTAATTTTGATTCTTCGGCCAGCTGACATTTGATCCACCGAACGTAGCTGCCTTTTTGTCTAACTTCCGCTCTTAATTGATTCCCATGGATCGATTCTTGTGATATTTCCGGTGTCCTCCTTCCTTCACGTTTATTATCTTGTCAAATTCGATGTCCGCAGCTACGGTATGACCTACCTGCTTCGTACAAATTCCACAAGAAGCGAGAGGTGGACATTGCTGTGGACTTGTGGCGCTTCACCGTTTCCTGATATTGCTATGCTTAGCACCTTCACATCTTTTTTGGAAGAAGTTCGACTGCTTTCTTCGCTGGAAGTTGTAATGCACTTTTGTTTTCCATCGCATGAGGGTAAGGTAGGGCGGGGCACCACCATATGAAACACGACGAAAAAGCGCAACTCTGTGGAAACTGGCTCGATGTGATGGGTGCAAGGAGCCCTTAGGACGGGAAATTGTCACGGACTGTTCTCAGCCGGAGAAAGAATTAAGAAGAATGCGAAGAGTCTTCGGTTGTATACTTGTTTCAAGGTTTCAATATGATGAAAGTGGAGGCTCACAGCCCTTTTATCTTTTTCTGGTCTTTGCAAATTGTTTCAGTTTCACTGCAGCTTTCTCCCCCTACTCATAGCCGCCCATGATCTTAGAACAATGGCCCCAAATTCTGCAAGACTAAGAATATCAAATTTTGTGCTGACAAAAGAGAATCCACTGTTTCAATCTGCTACTTGAAATGCAACCCTTAAACTGTTAGGAGCAACCACTGATAATGTTTCTTCACGTGAACGTTGTTTCTCCACTTCGATTTGAAGACAAGGTTTCGACACCAGCTGTAGGGGGAAGTAGACTCTGGGAGCCTTAGTCGAAGCCTCTTGGAATTGTGAGTAGGGTACAAAGGTCGAACGCTAAAGATCTGATGTGGAGCTCTAAATGCCTCCAGTCTCACATTTTGATTATACATAAGACATTTAAGGACTACGATCGGTGGAAGAATTTGAGGGTGAGCTGCGGCTTTGTGGTCAAGAACAGACAAGCCGGCCTGTGCAACGAAACCGGGTCTCGAATGACGTGGCAGGCAGCGTTCTCGGCTGAGATCGAGGTTTTGGCGAGACGGTGAAATAATAATCCAAACCTAAGAAGTCGTCCGGAGGTGACGAGCCGAGCCTTTTGAGGCCAATTCGTCAGATGAGTTCGAGGCAACCATCGTCAATCGCTGTCCACAGACTTCGTAGCAGCTGTAGCCGCACTGCATCGGACTTAAGCTGCGCAGAGAGCGTTCCGGTTATCCATTGTAGCTACGACTGCACCGGAGATACTACTACATCGAGACCAGATCTGGCTTTCGTGAATCGTTCCAGGAGCTAGGCGCGGGCGAATGTACCGCCAGAGTGTCAGGCTCTTCTCTAGGCCCCACTTGGCTGGCTATCACTGCTACCTTATCCGCCTTGACCACCCATTTGACGAGACTGTGTCTGTGAATCTTGAGCACCGTAAAGGCGCTGCCCGTCTCGACAGTCTTTACGTATGCTCCAAATGACAATTGTCATTAGATTCAATGCCAAAGCCGCTCGACCTAGCACACAACCGAGTCGCCGGACACGGCCAAGTGCTCGCTGCGTAGCATTCGATCCAAACCGCAAATCATCGCAAATCTGCGGGAATCACTTTGACGACTTCGGATTCGAGCGATTCATCCTCAATTTGTTACCGGGAAGACAAAAGCAGGAGGCGGTTGTGAAATTTGACCTCTAGAGAATGGAATCGCCAAGAACGGAAGTCGTCTCCGCAAGGCCGGCGCAATTATGGGACGATGCATTCGACCCCGTCATGCAATCTGCTTTGCAGTCTTCAAAGCTGGAGCCTAGATTCAGTAGATGCAGACGAAGGAAGGGAGTCCGGACGGGACGGGACGAAGACGGACAAGTGGCGGATAAATCCTCGTCACGCGGGCAACGGGAAAGATCCCTTATCCACTCCCGCCCCATCGTCCACCTCAGCTCGCCCTGTTGTCCAACTTGCATCTTCGGATTGTCTCACCCATCCCCCCGCTCTGACCGGGGCGCGCTCGGTTCACCGGTTTCCTTCACGTCGTGAACCGATCCCTCGACATGTCTGACCGGCAGAGGCCGTGTCGTCTCCCGCTGAAACCATCCTAACCTCCTGCCCCCGTGGGAGTCTTGCACCCCGCTTCCGCCTACGTGGACACGGGCCGACGATCGATCGATCGAATTGCAGTCTGCGTGTGTGACATTCGGACGTTCCATCCACGTGGCGGTGAAGGGGAAGCGCCGGTCGCGAAGGTGGCGATGAGTAAAACCCCGAGGGCGCAAGCGAGGGACGCATAGAAAGGTGGAAGGGGAGGCGCGGGTTGCTGAGTCTGAGAGCCGGTCAATTTCATCGCGAGAAGCAGAGACAGGAGCAGGAGGAGCAGCAGCATCAGAAGGAGCAGAAGCGGGAGGAGGAGTTGGGAGCTATGGCGACTGCGGTTCTGGCCAATGCTGCGCTGGGCGTGGCGTCGGGAGCAGCAGCATCAGCGGCGGTGGCGACGAGCAATTGCGGCAGCGGGCGAGCGCAGCACGGCGCGAGGGCGGTGTCGCTGAGCTTGACGAGCGGATTTTTCAGCGACCGAGTCGGCCCGAGCTGCGGCAGCGCGGGGTCTGCGTTCCAAGGGCAGCTCGTCGCCGATGCCGCCCTCCTCGCCGTCTCGGGGTCCCGGAAGGGCCGAGTCACGACTTGTATGGCCGCGTGGACTGGCGCTCTGGCCTCCGTCCGCCTGATCGTCCAAGGAAAGCATCTGGAGGTGAGCCTCGATGAAATGTGCAATGAAACCTGGCGATGATTTTCCCACCAAAAAGCTTCTTCCTTGCGGCCGTCGATCGACCGATTTCCGGGGATTATAGGTTCCTTTGCATCCCTCGCAGTGGCCGACATTGTGCTGCCGGGCGTGGATGGTAGTTGCGAACTCTTATGACGAGTGAGTGAATCGAGGACTAATTGATGAATATCTCATGTGCAGTTGACTGATGCAGTCAAGGCTTACGTCGAAGACAAGGTCGGGACCGCTGTTCATAATCAGCATCATCTCGTGAAGGAAGTCGATGTCCGACTGTCTGTTCGAGGTGGAGAGACCGGGAAAGGAGTCAAACTGCAAAGATGCGAGGTAACTGTCCTGCGAAGAACCATCTCCCGAACTTTGTGATCGAGTTTCATCCGTCATCTGCCCTTTTTTCCGCTCTGTTGTTTACTGCAGCCATTATCCTTACGGATTCTGCGCTGATTGATTCTGTGCTTCGTGTCTGGTATTGAAATGCCGAGGTCTTCGTGAAGAGACCTCGATGGGGCTGGAAAGTCCGATACATTGATGCTTTTCTGTGGCTGACGTCATCGTCCGTCGAGTCTGGCAGGTAACTCTGTTCACCAAGAAACACGGAGTAGTCCGCGCAGAAGAGGAAACTGAAAGTATGTATTCGAGCATCGATAAGGTGTCGGATGTGATTTCTAGGAAATTGCGAAAGATCAAAGAGAAGGATGGAGGTCACGGCCGTACGTGGCAGATGCGTAACCAACCCCGCATTGGAGAGTTGCTCTCCGATGAGGTAGTGGATCTCAAGCCCATCCTCGAGAAAGAGCCTGAAGACCTTCCCGACGAGGTGAACCCCAAGAACCAAATTTCTCTGCCATCCCAGGATTCTGTTTTTTAATGTTTTTGCTCTCAGTGATTTCCGGAGAGGGGAACTTTGCATGCCCGTGATCCACCGCTTGTCATTGCACACCGACTCATGTTCTTATCCTGGCAGGTCGTGAGAACCAAGTACTTCGACATGCCACCCATTGGCCAGTACGAAGCTCTCGAAGAAATGGTGAATTTGGGCCATGACTTCTACGCATTCCGCAACAAAGAAAGCGGTGAGTGTCAGCAGGACCAAGAAATTGCTCTGAATGTAAGATAGGCGGTTGAAATGTGCACTTAATCCGAATGCTCATCTTATATATCTGGATCTTTTACAGGTGAGATCAACATTCTGTACAAGAGGAAGCACGGTGGTTTTGGAATGATCATTCCTCGAAACGATGGGAGCTGGGAGCAATCTCAAAACGGAAATTCTAAGAGCAGTTGATCAAGCGGGAATCGCCATCTTTGAACGGTCATAGAAAGGAAACAATTCTCTCAGGTCCAATACAGAAAGTGTGAACCTGGAAAGCCCCACGCGAGGCGAGTTTGGAAAATATTCAAGGAATATCGTCGAATCCATGTCGTGCTGAGTCTGCAGGTAGCAGCGTGGATCCGCGAGTGCTGTAGAATTGTATCATTGTCTATTTGTATATTGTTTGATTGTCGAAGACAAGGATAGTCAAGATGATCTAGCCAAGTTTTGTTCACGGATTCAAGAGCAGGGCAGGATAGACAAAACTTCTTGTACGCAATGCTTCTATTTGCCGGTCGAGTGAATCAAGAGTTCTTATGTACAGGAATCCGCATCAATATCATATTTGCAACAGATCTATCACTTTGCCTGTGAGTGTCGATCTCTTGATCACACATGTGAGTGGACATAAAATCGATACTCCTTAAATTGCGTTAGGGCTCCTTGGACTACATAAGTCAGCCTCATTTTCCTCTCACATACGCACCGGATCTCTTTATCACTACCGCTGAATAAGAAAAGAGGCTCTGAGCGTATTTGCTGATGCTTCTATAAGAAAAACATCGCTCGGTATTCTCATGCTAATCTCCGACAATCACATCTAAGCTGTGGCGCGTACAACGGCACTTGATTCTTTGTGGCTCTGTTAATCGCAAATCCGTAGATCGGAAAACAAGATAGCACGAGGTTTGTGAAGCACCAAAACGCACGCCTCCTCATTACATAATTTTCATCAATGGTAGTCGGAGACATTATGTTTTGAGGAGAGAGAAATATAACCGTTAAAATTACCGACAAACTGACAAATTAACTTTCAGAGTGACGGTGTAATGAACAATACGCAAAATTGTCATCTTCACTGACCAGCTTATATAATGACTTCTTCTGCTGAATTATGTTACAATGCAGCCAACAAATTGTTCCTCTAACAACAACTGCAATTGAACAACTGTCATAAGCAATTTTGTATAATCATCTTCTGTATGAGATCTGCTCGTAAATATGTACGCCGACTCATGCATGTACAGAACACAACTAATACTGCTTGCCAAAGCAAACCTCTAGCTCGGAGAACGGCTTAACGTTATCGGTTTCACGCCATGTTACCCTTCTCACCTACATGCTACAACACCCCTCGGGCTTTCCCCGTGAGTGGGACTTCTGATTTCATTTTACCCAATGGTTCAACTTAATACTCTGGCGGATGCCTTTCCGTCACTGCAGATTCCGTATGAGTATAATAGTAGGACTCTGTTGGGATACATATGAATCCGTGAGTGAGCGGTGACCGCTGCATCAATTATGATTGTAACGTTTGAAACCACTTTTTTCTTTATAAGACGCTCAAATGCACCAAATGAAAGGTGTATTTCACTTGAGAAGATACGGAGCTTGATCCAATTGATTCATAATTCTACGAGTTTTTATTCTGCAATTCGATCTTTGGGCTCTCGACCTGTAAGGAGAGGGTCGAGCACCGTTTCTGTCGTGCTGCTCTTCTGTATTTATTCGCGTGTAAGACGACTGGAAACTTATTTCGCAAATCAAGTATCCTCGGTGTACTTAGGCACTTCCTTCAGCACCTTCCTTCATTAGAAATGAATCATAAAACTTTCTCGCCCAAAGCGGTGGACTGAGGGTTTGTACATCTGTCGATGGGAATGTTGTGCACCATTTGATCAAATCTTGTCTATCGAGCATACGAGCTTTCGAATGCTTTCTAAACTCCTGTGATCTTGCTCTCGAGTCAATCAGCAGAATGCCATGCGTCGCTCACGTATCCATAGCTTTGCTCTACACTGTATACGTTCTCCATGGCCTGCTGTTCCAAGTATGCGCGGCGTCTTTGGCCATGAATCTGTCAAAAGCCTTGCGGTTGTATTCGAGGAGTCCTTCTATTTCTATTCGGCCTTGAACGTGCTAAACCTCAAGCAGGACCTCAGACACGCTATACATTTATTACGAAAGAAGCCAGACTTGTCGGCGAAACATATTATAACGTAGTTCCAGCTTCATTAGATTGGCCTACAGATTCGGCTCAGAAAGTCGGAGCAAATCAGAAGAAATCAAAGCCGAATTCGATAAGTAGAATAATATTACGAATCATTGTCGTCCTATCCCTTACAAGATCAAACCAGCCAGAGAAAAATGATGATATTCACGATGCGTATGAGCTTCAGAACAAGGTTTCCGCCCAATTTCTGTTGGATTCTGAGCACCTTAAATTTCTGGTGTAGAAGGATTTAGTTCGCTCTATGCTGAGACTGTAAAGGAAAAATCAATCTCTCGTTATATAAGAGCTCCAATTGAGTGTTCTTTTAGCTAAGATTATGCCTTCTGTCATTTCAGTTCTGGATTACTGTCCGACAGATCGAGAGCTGGTGACTTGTATGAAAGCCAGCACAACGACAAGACGAGGCGATGGACTCGGTGGACAAAGGAACACGAGATCCGTCAGCGAGTGTGGCCGACTCGCATGTGTCGAATGTGAACATCACAGCTTTCGTCAGAGCGCTGTCGCTGGGACTGCTCATTGGGTTTCTGGTTCTGACGTGCGTTGTGTTCATGTGCATCTCCTTTGCCCTGTGCAAGAGGAGACGAGCGTACAACCGCTACGCGAGCAGCTCGTTCGCCACGAGGCGCGAGGAAGAAATGAATGTCAGGTCCAAGTCTTATCTGGACGCCACCGGACATACGTCCAACGTCACGGTCCTCATGCCGGGAGAAAATTTTCCAACCCATGTGGCAAGAATCGTGACTTGACCTGACGATAATTCTGAATACTCCTGATTAATAAGCACCGCGCTGTGACAAAAGGCATTTCTCGGGCTCGAGCTTGCAATTGATGTCTCGAAATCTATCTATGTGGGACATCCAATAATGTTTCGATGTTTGTTTGAATTGCTGTCACAACAGGAATCTCTCAGGCTTGCGATTGTTGTCTCGAATCGTATGTGGAACATTGATTGAATGTTGCTTCTTGTTCGCACTGAGTCGCTCATTTCTCGAATTGATCCATCTTGGCTGTCACAAAAGTTTGCCTCGTACGATGAACATGTCATTCATTGCCAAAGGGATGTGATTGGATGAGGATGTTCTTCCATTTCGAGGTCCATTCGTAAATTCTGGTTGTTGAGTACAACAGGACAATCTGCAATCGTATGCAACGTAATCTACAGATTGAAGCTATTCTGTTTTTCTTGACTCAGCCCTCTTACTGAAAATCTCCTGTCTGCGCGTAATTAGTTCAGTCAAATCACATTCGGGAATTGACAAAAAGAAATCGCATGTTTGTGAGTACACGATGCATGGATGGTCGATTTTCAGCGCAGCGCAATGCATGATTGACCATTCGAACCAGAAATCGAGTTTCCAAGGATTTCAAGAAGTGGATCTCGTGTTCGACTGGGTGAAGGAATGAAGGAGGGTGATCGATCGATCGATCAGACCATCCAGATCGCACTGTGTTTTCTGTTAACGATATCCTCGTGAAAAGGAAGAGTCGTGACTGTTATGAGGAGTCAGCTTCTGGCGGCTATGGAAGAATCAATCTCACATCAGGTCAAACGAACTCGAGACGAACGATCAACATCGTCGGCACCCGCAGATGCGTGAAAATGCTGGAAACTCCAGGACGCGGTGTGGCATGGAGGGACTCCTATCGTGGGGATTCGAAATCGCTCGCCACGCTCATCAAGGGCCGCAAGAAGAAGGTGTCGGAGGACGCTGCTGCTGTTGTTCCGGCGGAGGGCGAGGATGGCCCTCAAGATGATCAGGGACCCACGACGTCCCTCGAGGAAGCAGCACCCGCATCTCAAGAGTTCGGGGCCGACGCCGAAAGTAGGAATCCGAACATGAAGACGACGACGATCGCCGTGACTTTCTCCTGCGAGTGCGCAACCAGACGAGCAGTGGAAGTCGACGGCATGGAGCTCGGTGGCGAATTGCTGCCACGTCTCATCAGTCGAGAAATCTGCGACGACCGCAAAATCCAGAACAATTTCTGGCCGCGCGTGAGACTCTTGGGAGACATCCGACGAGGAATTCAGTACTCCAAATCCGGCAAAGCCCAAAAAGTTGTGATACAAAGCAATCCCGCCTCCCCTTCGACCGCCAGCAAATGGGTCGTGGACACAATCAACAAAATTTCTGGTTCTTTGCACTGCGAGAAATCCCTTCCTGACTAGAGTAGCCAGACCCAGTCCCCCAGTCTTCTTCCAAACGCCATCTGACGAAACCTGTGCATGCATTCATGCCTCTCCAGTGGAAATCAGATGTTAAAATCCATGTGCACACTTGTAGACAAATTGTCCCAGCTCAAGATGGACCTTGTACCCAACAAATATCAGTCATCACTGATATTTGTTGGTGTGAAGATGGTATAGTTCTATTACCACATGGCTCACAGCAAACTAAATCGTCTGTTCGACTCGAGTAGCTCTTAGAAAGTTGTTGAATGCGATCTCCCTGCAGATATCACTTGATAAAGGTGATGTAAGGAAAGTATCCAAGTTTGTCAATTTGTCAAAGGCCCGTACCTCATCAAAGCCTTAGGCCTTGATGAGGTACGGGCCCAAGATGAGGCGAACCCAACTTTTTGATCTACTGCTCTGTAGTAACATCGCAGTAGAGCAAGATAACTAGAAGCATGAGCTAAATAAGCAAGTACATAGTTGTCGAAGTCTTGTCTGGTTGCTCAAGCATATTCTTATGAGATTAGAGGTGACAACGTATCAGCATGTTGATGTGTAGTACCTTGACAATGAATCACGTCAAATTCATACTCCTGCAGTATTAGTGTGCAACAAGCTAGCTTGCCGGTAAGCTTGTGGTTGGTCATCAATCACTGAAAAGGTTGATGGTCAGAGTGAACGTGATTCTATATAGATACTGCACATAATACAACCAGTCACGAGGCTTGATTGCTCTTTGCGTTGTTGGTTTTTCGAGAGTGATAGGCAATCACGCCCTTCTTCACTTCCCTGGCCAAGGAAAACATCAATTTCAAGACTACTTCAATCAGTGTTAAGAAGTAACACCTCGGTGTAGTCAAAACTACGTAGAATCAGAAATTCTGGCAATTGCTGATATGCATTGGCAACATCTTCGTTCCATTTCAGATTCGTCTTCATTAGTGAGGATGCCACAATATTGAAAATCTGAACATTATCCTCATGGTAATGACAAAGCCCAATGAAATTGCATAATGAAATGACATCAGGAAAGCAGAAAGCTTCCATGTTAGCAACCACATTGACTCAATGAGCCACAATTTCTTATGATAGAATACGATGCCGAAGGTAAAGCCGGATTCTTTTGTCAAAAACTCTATAATTTCCTAACAACCTAGAATTCAAGTCTTTGAAGATTGTACAGTTTTCAGTGGATTTCTTAATGGACTTTCAAGATAGAAAATCCCACCTCATCATACCCTCGTGTACAATAAACAGGGACCGATAATAACTCTCTATAGGTAGTTCTTTTTATTGAGTCAAACATATTCTCTGCATTATACCTTTAGTAACGAGCTTCGTTTGGTTAAAAAAAACATCACCGATTACTTATAACCATTTATCAAGGAGATGAATATATCAATAGTGATATATGAGGACAAACGATATTGTAAGAAGCAATGTAGTTGTATGATAATGATTTTGCATTAATAATAAACTATTGTTAAAGAACGATTAGATTATATTAGCCACATTTTAACTGTAAGCAAGACTGAGATTTATAACTAGAGTAGATAAGAACTTGCAAAGCTAGTGTGATGATGTTGAAATGTTACCTCCTGATTTTGAACAGGTTAATAGTTGTGAACTCGTTAACAACTATTAATATATTCAACAACCACTATAGCTTCATGAATGATGCTCTGAAGCCTTGCTTTGTACTCGTAAGTCATCAATGTGGCAGTCTAAGAAACCTGCCCCTTCTTGAACCTGATTCATGACTTTTTTAGAGAAGACAAGTGCAATCTTCACAGCATAAGGCATCACAAGCAATTCCGAAAGCTGGTTACCGTCATGAGAGCCAATTTTATTGCGATGCTTTCCACAAGCTCAATTTGATTGAAGCTTTGTCGCATATTCACAACAGAAAATAAAATCAATAGTCTCCAGTACTATTTAATGTCTCCTCATCAATATGAACAGGGTAACGTTCTTGAGGAGTGGCCAAGTTCAGAGGATGGTATCCTATGAACTTACAGCCCTCATCCATAAGCTCTCATTCATGTTTTCTCAAACTGTGTCTTTGACGCCAAATAGTTTTCTCATGAGTAATGTCAATAAGAAACGGCTTCACCTTACATCTCCTTCTTGACAAAATAATCGAAATCGGTGAAGAAAGAGTCTGAAGAGACGCACAATTTTTATCTCTAAAATTTTTCTACTCTTGAATTATACAAGAAATGTTGAGATTCCATGGAAGAGAACTATCTGCTGTTATAAAACATCAAGGAAGTTTTGCATAAAATAAGTATTAAAATTACAAGGTGGTGGACGTGAAGGCCCCGTAGTCTAGTGGTTAGGACATTGGACTCTGAATCCAGTAGCCCGAGTTCAAATCTCGGCGGGGCCTCTTTTGATTAAAAGAGGCTCCGCCCCGATTGGTATCGAAAGCCCGGCATCAAAAGAGGCCCCGCCGATCGAAGGCCACGGGCTTTCGATACCGGGCTATGCTTGTTTTGGCGTGGAAATCTGTAGATAGGGCTGACAAGTTAATCATGCTGAGGCCTCTACAGGACTTATCTATCTAGGTGAAGCATAGGATATTTGAAGTCCATTGTGCAAGGTCTAAGACCTTACCAGAAAGAAATCAAACGTGGGAAGGTTGCATGCAGTGAAATTGTGAATGTTCTCACCAGGATGTTATCTCTTGCACACGATGTGATCTTCTGATCAAGCTTAATTGCACAATTTTGTTCGCTGCGTCTGATTCATTACACTCGCCAGTTTCAAATTCACACAGATCGGAACAGGAACCGATTACTGACTACTTGGAAAATGTATACCCGGGAGATGCGCTCTCCTCGACCAAGAATGCAGCATTTCTCCAATTGGTGAGAAATTTCAATCGGTAGGCGCTTGAGTATTCCTGAACAGACCACAATCATGAAGTTACATGCTCCCTCGGTGACGCAAGCCCTGCTGGAGCTATTTATTTGGCCCAGTGCATTATGAACTCAACTTGTCACTACAGCTTACAGCATAGAACCGTTTGAATGAGAGACTCGCAACCAGGTCTTCTGAGTGAGTGTTGACGTTTCACCATGAATCTCATGCTTCCCTGCTGGCATACAGACAGGGAAGCAGTCCAAGCAACACGCAGTTTTAGTGCAGTATTGTGTGGAGCTGAGAACTCGGGAACATCGTTCAACACGAATCTGGACCACCTGATCATCAGAACAGCAGAAAATACTGGGATCACTGAGTCCGCTCATCTAGACGCCATCTTGTACTCTCTGAGGTGCTTGGCGATGTCTTCGAAGTGGTAATCAGGGAGTCATTGATCGCAGAATTGCCCATTTTACTTCTCGACATCCTCACCTTACTTCTGATCACATCACCGGCAGATATTCGTTTCACATTCAGCAGAGGTTGGGGATTCCTTATTGTGTTTCATCGTGGGATCCAGACGAGGTCGGATCTTCCAGAAATTCGCACGCGCCGGTTAAGGCACGGGCGGGGGTTTGGAAATAGTTTTCAACCAGCAATTGACGCGTCTCGGTTTCACCTCACTAACTGCGTCATTGCCCCAAGCGCAAAGATGTGGAAGACCTGTCCGATTTTGGTTCCTATATTTCTTCTAGTACTTTACGTCTGACTAGCTGTATGGGTTATTACTACAATGCACAATAGTGACTCTGTGGGTATCGACAGATTTGGCCTCTGGAGTCAGGCTTTTTTATCCATATTCGGTATGAAGACTGGAAAAACACCAACTTTCTTTCATATTTTGAAGGAGGAAAAACTTCTCTCTTATTTGCAGTCAAGTTACGGAATTGGAGTAAGTACTGTATTCAAATATTATATTGGAAATTTTTTATTCTTTTGAAGCAACAACGCCTGGAGAAGGACTTTCTCATCATTTTAAGTTGGAAATGTTGTTGAAGAGTCTAAAATTGACCACAATATAGTTTTTTTTCATAAGGAGTAAATAATATTCTGCACTTTAAGGGGTATCGAGTCGTTGTAGTATAGTGGTAAGTATTCCCGCCTGTCACGCGGGTGACCCGGGTTCGATCCCCGGCAGCGGCGGTCCCTAGTGCTAAAACTAGGGTCACATTTTGGTTCCACATTTTCGATCGTGAAGGATGAGATTGTGCCAGAATTTTAGATCTCAGATAGGAAAGAAAGCTCGAGGCGGACAATGCAGATGTGCAAAGCTGCAACCAATATTTGGAAAGCATACGGCGTGGGTAATAGGCAAGAAAGATTAGAATCCTAGTCTTTGCTGCATGTGCACTTCTCAATGAACGCCAGTGTCCGTTATGAACCATTTCCGCTTCTCAATCGGTGATAGGCGAGAAAGTTTATCATCTCAATTACGTTCTCGATCAGTACTTCTGGATCAGTTTCAACATTTCAATCGAGGTTAGCAGCGCAGTTGTTCTAACCATGAGAATTTCTCAAAATAGTGTGAAGTTCTCAGACATCTTCTCTTGTCACTCTTTGATAAGTTGATATGGTTTAGCATTCCAGTCAGATTCTCAATCCATGCCAATCACAGGCAAGAAAGTTTAACATATCAGTCATGTTCTAATCTAGGGTTTCTTGAGACTAAATTCACATTGAGCTTGTAATATCTACGTTAAGGTTATATGTTGATATGATACTAGTGAGGATTCTAACAATAATTTCTAATGTCCCAGTGAAATGTTGTTGTTTGGTTACATGCTAGTAAGCTTCTTGTTGGACCATGAGATTGTTGTGTAGGGGATGTCTTGATACTATCCTCATGTCCTTCGGTTCCATGCGAGTGGGTTTTCTCATGATGAAGAATGCCAGTAGCACATTAGACCGATTGCTACTGGAAGGTAGTATTGTAACTTGTTTGTCGGCTTCTTATTTAATGATACTAATAGTCATTTTTTAGAAGAGTGCACTGAGTTCCTCACATTAGTTTTAATATGTATCATAATTTACGCAACCTGATTCCACATTATAACATAAGAGCATTCAGATTAAATGATGATTTCATTGTCAATTGTACATTGTTTGACTTATATATTTTGGGTATCTAGATGTATCAGCACATTTCTATTGGGGATTCATTCGAAGACTTACCTCGATGCTTGCTCTATGAGTCCACGCTCCAACCGGCAAGAAAGAGCAAAATCAAATTGAACACTATGTAAGGCTAGCCATGAAAGCTAGGAAAATTCTTTGAGTAATTCAATTTTCACAATCATCACCAAGTCTAGTAGAGCATAGAAGAGCTCCAGATATCCAACAAATTTGTTGGAAGAACAACAAATTGGAAATTTCATGTCACAATACTGAATTGTTTCCAAATACTTTTCACTTGTGAGAATGTGTAAACCAAATTCACGACAATGAATGAACTGTAAGTGAAACTATGACGTTAATAGAGTTTGGTTACATGAATATGTTTATAGTCATCTTATTATGTTTTAAGTGTTGGTACTCAGCTTTGTTCTTCATACATGCTTATACATACAATACGCAACAAAAATCACATACGTAGGTTAGCTCCACATGAAGTTAGATACACTATAAAAAAAGCTTCAGTAAAGCAAAATGTTATATCATTACTCTATAGCCAAGATCTTCACTATCTCTCCTCAATTCTACATGTGAGACTGAGTGAAACTAAGTAACCCTAAGTAGAAGCCAAGACTAACTACGATTAAAAATACTCGATTTTTAGTTATGTAAGGTTAAAACCTTCAATTCGATTTCTGTTCCTAGATAAAAGAGGATGAAAAAATAATTTTTCTTCAGTTTTTTTGTGTCTGGTTAAAACTAGGGCCTCAATGTCTCTTAAGGTTGCAATGGAAGTACTCGACATAGTAACAGGCAGAATTGTTGGACATTACACGTTAATTTTCCTTCATTACAGAATGAAAATCAAGCGCATGTGGAAAACAGTGCCACACCGAAGAAATCAAAGCTAGTCTCCAGGCTTTTTATATCTTAACGATGATTTTCTTAGACATTCATACACAAATATATTTCAGAAAGGAAAAATAATAGTAAATAATATTATAAAAACAAAATGTTATGGCATCCATGTGGCTGTAGTTTAGTGGTGAGAATTCCACGTTGTGGCCGTGGAGACCTGGGCTCGAATCCCAGCAGCCACACTTTCTCCGTCACTGTCTGAGAGGAATGTTTTATCCCCCGCCGTCCGATAAGAGTTTGTTTGTTTTGTTTTGTTTTTTGTTTTGTTTTGTTTTTTTGTTTTTTGTTTTTTGTTTTTTTTCTTTTTTTTTGTTCTTTTCTTTTCTTTTCTTTCCCCTTTTGATGTCTTAACTGTTGTGATACATAAACAAATCGAAATACCATGCTACAGAGGAAGATCAGGGACCCTCTAGAGTTTAGACGGCAGCTTTGCATCACATGGGTTTGTCTGCTCGGCAAGTTTGATGGTTGTCCTCAGAATACACTCTGATCGAAGTGCAGACGAGCAGTACTGCAGGATCTTCAGCTCGCGAGATTCTAGATTAAGAGCTCGCGCACTCTCACGTACCATATCCGAAGAAGTCGTGGTTGCAAACTTAAGGGCAAAACTCGAGATTGTCATTGAAGATTATGCTGGCTGGAGGTCACGTGCTTCACACAGGTAGCAAGCAAGTCACTTCCAATTTTCACCAGATGTCGAGCAGGAGCATTAGAGTGATGGACGATCCCCCAATTTCACAAATGGAATTTTCAACCGATGCAAGAGAGATAGAGAGAGATCTCTTCATCTCGGTCATGATGAGAACTGAGAACTTGGAATCTTCACTTCCTTCATGTGCATCTCTGCAACCGACTTGTGGTCGTGTTCTGCACGATAAAAGGTTCGTTCATAGTTACACTGCAGCACTATTACGCCGCAATACAGTGGATGGCAGGCATACGGATTGGGGTTTTGCCACAGTTCCAGGCTGTGGCGTCGCCCCTTTTGGCGTGTGCTGTCCTGCGATCTGGATCAAGGAATCATGTTCATGAATTTTGGACTGTGGACTCTTTATTTCAGGTTCGGGTGCATGACACATTGTTCCAAGCTCCAGGCTGACAAGTAGCTTGTAAATGCTTACAATGGGTTCACGATGGAATTCATGCAAGGGAGCAATTGCTGCAGTGTGACAGTCACAGTGACCTTGCATGAGATACTTTAAACCCATTCCTCATACCCTGCGTCTTCGTATGTCACGTTGGAGAATCTTTTGATCGCATCACCATCACACGATCCCACCTCGCAGGCAAGTAGAACAGTTCACAAGTTATCAAGCACCCGCAATCAGTCTTCCCATCAGCCCTCGTGCAGAAACTTACGATCGGCACATACTCCGCAGCCGCCCCTTTGACAGAATGCGTAAACAGTCAGCTCACCGCCATCTCCGTATCATCTGACCTCTGTTGCTACCTTGTATTCTTCCTCTTGCCCAGAACGCAGAACTACAGAATCTTGCCCAGAAGTTTGAAGTAACCTGGAAATTTCAGGATCGCTCACGATCAGCGCCACTCCCTATCTGACCGGTTGTTTTATACTCACATCAATCGCTGAAGTTATTTACTTGATGTTTGGATCCTTCATATCTAGATGTTAGGTCCTCCTCCGATAGTTTCATCAGACGTCATCAACCAAAGATCAGTCACGTATTGAAACATGGAAAGACGCCGATGGTTACGATCTAAATGCTGTACGGATGTAGGACACCCAATTGTAGTTTTCGTGTACAGGAAGCTAATTGTAAGACCGCAGGCTAGAACAACCCCGACCGTATGCCCATCCGTATGTAAGTACTTGTTGTCGTCAAACTACTCTTACAGATTCTGTATGTGAATACAGAATCAGGTCAGGCGCGGTACTCTTCATCAATGAAACACTGCGAATGTCCTTCCGAGCTCAACTTTCGACGTCCTGTCTGAAGGCTGCGTGCTCTGCCATCGATGTTTGCGAAGGGAACAGATTCGGAGGACGCGTGGGGCAACTTTACTACTTCGGAGTTCTTCATTCAATAGATGGTTTGTTCCCGGCAATCACATTATTAACTCGTGCTCTGGATGCTTCTCTCCTAGACTTTAGGTCCACCATCATTTTGGAAACCGCCAGATTGGTTAGAAAATTTTGAAGGAAGCAGAAGGCATAGATACCCGTCCCGTAGCACCTCACTCTTTGATCCTGCAATCACAAAAGAGTGAGGCTGCGGAAATATGGAAATTTACGCAAAGGTGACCTGGTGGCTGATGTACGTGATTCTGTCGACCTGTTCCAAAGTCTACGCGTAACTAGTCAGTCACTCACTTCGTGGCAAGGGTTAAACAACAACTTCAGCCACAAGATCACTGCTCCCACACACTCATACACGCTGGCAAAATTTCAAGGCTCAAACACCTTTGACGAAGAATCCACAAAATTACGTGAAAATCTCAGAACTCATGACGAAAGGGCACATCTATATTATACGGGGAGAAAATTAGAAGCACTATGCATAATTGTGAAGCATAATTACAGAGATCCAAAGCACCTCCATCTTTCTATTGGATAGAGGGAATAAGAGGCAAGCAATTTGCAGAGCATTCCTCGTTAAATTACACAAACCTGGGCTTGTTACTGCAGAGTCAAATCATGTGCTCGTGTACCTACTGGCACTCCTTTAATCTCTCCCCGGATAAAACTGTCTACTCATAACTCTATATAACTTTTTTATTTGTATGGGTAACTTTGTAACTAGCCCTTGCGTTCCTGGCAGAACCCTCCTCTCAACACGGTAAACTCTAAACACGACCTACAGCACCGCTCTAATTCAAGGGCAGGGTGTACCGAATGAACCCTAGCAACGATGACGATGCGCTGCCAGACAAACTTTGCTTGTAGATGGATAAGAAAAAGCCATGGACTGTAGAAGAAGGATGTCATTCGAATTCAACGTGACGTATGATCTATTATTAGGTGAATAATTGGAAATAATGATACACATGTACACACAGACATACCTGCTTCGTATCCAGAGGACCCTCACCAAAGCAGATCCTTTCACGAATTTTGCGACAGGAAAATTTTGGGCCTCAGAGGACTGTAATGCACGGATCCGGAACTATGAGATCGAGTGGCGTCGCCTCCTGCCACCGCTACCACCTTGACGAGAATCGGGAGTGTTGGGTGCTTTCGAGTCTAATGCACCTCCTTTAATGCCACTCTTTGAGAAGGGATTTAATCTGGTCAGCTTCTTCGATACTGACTGAAGGAATGTCTTTTGCCCTCCACCTTTCTCTAGATCTTGCTTCATGCATACATGGTCCTTCTCTAAATCTGTCAGGCGCATTCTCATCCGGGCGACTTCCAACTTCAGTTCCCGGTTCTCTCGTCGGACGGACGCGTAGTTATCTCTTGGCGACACAGCGGAGCTGAAGGCTCCGCTAATTCTTTGCGAATTGTGGCCGACGTGATCGACATCAGCCAAGGACCCCGTCATGGCTGTTCGCAGTCGAAGCTGCTCGAAGTAGAGTACCTGCACCATTATCTGGACAGGTAACCTTTCATTTTGGGCAGCATGTGTGCAAGCCTCTTGCGACAACTTTTGGACGTCCATGAGTTTACAGAGCTTCTTGCGATCGATCTCTGTAAGCGATGGGTGGGCCTGCAAGGTAAAAAAAGAGCCAACATAACCATCAGGAAACGAACGAGGCTTCGGCGCCACCCAGATTTAGACTATCCAGGGTTTCTCATGAGTTGCTGCTTACGACATGCGACCTTCTCATGAATTGGCCTCAGAAAACGAAGGATGTACATGGTCTCACCTTCAGGTAGATGTCGATGGCTCTGTAGAGCCCGTCATCAACCACTCGGGCGTACTCCGGGAGAAGTTCAGCTAGTGAAATGAACTTAGCCAGCTTCAAATTAGCATCAGGTGCAATCTCGGCTAGATAGCTATCGAGGAGTTTCGCGACCTTCATGAGGGCACTTTGTGTGGGAGACCCCATTCCGTCCGACTCGTACATGCTGTGGGGATCATGGACATCCTCGTTGTCCGTTTGTTGCAAGAAGCACACGATGATGCGTTGTACGATGTCCACATCGAAAAGTGTATCCCCGGTGTAAGAGAATGAGGGTATCAAAAGGTCATCCAAAGTCGCCTGTTCGAGCTGCTGCCCGATCCTTCTCTCGAGATCCAATCTGCATGCAATGGTCGTGTCAAGAATAATGGCTGTTCGTAGAAGGCCGAATAGGAAGCTGCAAGAGGCTGTGTTCTTCTCAGGCGGAAGAAGACTGACGATCGTCTCGACGAGAATTCGTTGTTCGTGCTCGATTGCAGATGTGCTATCATGGACCTTCTTCTGCTGACCTCCTTTGTACATATCGCGCCCGGTTTGCTTTCTGTGGAGTCCTTTCAGCGATCGATGCGCGTAATGCATCAAGGCTCCACCGATACTCTCGTATCGCAGACCCCGCGAACGCATTGCTGCCAGAACTCTCTGGTAGAAGTCAATCCGCAGGACGGCCAAATCCTCGGCCCACCAATCTGATGGCGTTACCTTTTGAGGACCTTTGCTGAAACTCAATTTCACGTTGCTGTCATTGCGGCCCGAAATGTCGTAATCGGACTCCCCCATGCCCTGCGCAATCTGTTCACGACATGCCTTGGACGCAATGGCATCGATTGTTCGACTGACAATCTTGAGTTCTTCGGCGTATGGAAGTAAATTTTCACAATTATGAAGGACTGTTATAGAATCGGCGAGGTTTTGGCACACGACTTCACTCAGAAAGGCTTCTGTCCTGGCGACCAGATTTCCTTCTCCGTACTCCTCTGTCATCTCGAGATACTCTGCCGCACACCGAAGGACAGCAACATTGGCCGTCGTGATTTCGAAGTTAATACCGTAACAAAACCTCGCTGCCATGTCAAAACCCTCAGCACCGCCAGGTACGTCAGGAAGTTCCATCTGAGACACATCAGAGTCGCCCGCTTCGACCACCAGCATCCTGATCCTCCCGCATCGCGAGACCAACGGGAACTTCAGAGAGGCAAGAAAAAAGAAATGTCAGTGAAACAAGATCTCGACCTTCAGTCGGAGAGCTAGTTGTCCGTGATGTTTGACCAAATCATCTTTTGCGGCATGAAGCTTGCTGCTATATTATCAAAGTCATCACGGGGCTGGCATTGCAAACAGGCACCCGACAGAGCTGCTCGAGTGTGCGATATGATCGACATTAGAATCCGAATGAGAACCAGCCAAGAGCTACGTTAGGACTGCAGTGACTGCAATGACTCTGTTGTGTACCTTGTGGAGAGCGAAACTGACGCCGCCGACAATGACCACGACATCACTCGGGACATCCGTTGCCAGAACCCTGCGATGAACAAATTTCCACGACAGTCAGTGTTAAGGACTCGAGGCACCCAGAAGCGGCACTCAGCCTTCCAGTCTCGACATCACTGACTCGTAACTTCACACCTGCTATCCTTCGCTGAGACAAAAAGTTGACTAATTTTGCTGCCCTCAACAGCTAAAATAAACTCCCTTCGGCTATGATGGGTGTCGAAAAAATTCACTGAGCTTTCTGATAAGTGCACATCGAAATGTGATGTTTAGAACTGATTCCAGCAAGGGAAAACTGGGTTCGAGAAAAATGATGGGGCGGGGGCCTAAACCTCCCGGAGAGTTTAAAGTTGATATATTCTGAGTTATAGATATTGTCAGCTGCGGTCCAGCTTGCCAGGAAGCCATGCGCGATGTATGTGTTCCAGGGGTTGACTGGGATGTGGAGTGAAGAATGCCCTCCCTGACTCGAGCTAAAACAGACCAAATCCTCTGTTGTCTTCGACGCAACCTTTAAGATCCGGTTCGCCTTGGGGGTTATAGAATAACATCCGGCCTCGTGATATCAAAGCTGTCACTAGCCAGCAGAAGACACGCAAAAGACATCGAGCACAAGGATAAGACCTAACCGCACAGAATGGTAGTGAACATCTATCACAGAAGTGTCGGTCGGTGGTGTGAACACAACCGCAGCCGGCAAAAGGTGCAGGGCAGGGAGGGAGACCGACGGAGAAAGTTCTCGGCAGCCCGACAGGTCAACCTGTGACAATAAGGCGAGACTGCAAGAATGCATTCACCAGAACGAGAGAGACATCTGGCCCTGAAGCACAAACCTCCTTCCTCGGTAATGCGAGATGCTACTCTAAACTTCTGCCGACGTCGTCCGCTTTACGAAGAAAGGAAACAACCAGCAATCAAGCTTCAGAGAAAATGAGGTGATAGCAGAGATGGCAACTCTAACGTCAGAACATACAAGCATAACATTGAATGCACGAGTCCGTGGAAACAGGGTTAGAACCTGTTTGAAATTTGCACTTCATATTCACACCTGATAAAACAAACGACGAAAAAAACCGACGGGGTGAAAAAAAGACAGGTGGTCAAGCACGGCCAAATCTGCATCTACGAAGTGCGATCATTGCCAGGTCAATGTTCAGTCCACATCTACTGAACGAAGTGCCTGCTGCGACGAGACACGCGACGGTGTGGTAAAAAGAAGATGGAATGAAAGAAACAGAAGCCGACGTGATAAGAAGACGACGTAGCCACATGCGCGCATGAGATCCCCGTGCACGGTGATGTTGCCACATTCTGTAGGCATGCAGAGAAGCGCGTTGGACGAATGAGAGACAGAAATGGTGGAACGACAGAGACAGTCCTTCGGAACGAGGGACAGAGACCAGAACTTCGCTTGACTGACGCCATGCACAGCCTGCTCCGAGAGAGACGACGTTTCGTAATATTCTACTCCTGCAGTTGCTTCGGAGTGAACAAACGCCATCCATGAATGAGAAGAGGAGTCGAATTCTCTCCGATATCTCGTCTCCATGGTTATGACAAAAAGCTACACAAGAAGGATGGGGAGAGCCGGATCTATGGCTTCAGAAACGGTGGACCTATTGCACATTGAGACATTCCCAGATGCATAGTAAACAGAGTTCTTAGTAAGGAAACGAGAAAGACTCGCATCCCTTCTCACGAGAGCAGATATAGTAAAACTCGGCAGACAGCTGAGGGGCATTGACCGCAGAATCCTTCGCGAATCTATCCCCCACGAATTTAGAGAATTTCCTTTTCCCGATTCCTCGCATACGAAGGACTTTACTGCTCCTCCAGGGGCGAGTACATATCGAGGAAAAACGTGTTCCCGAGAAAGGTGCGCACGGCTAGTCCTTTCACGGTATCTCTCGTCGGCTACAATGTAGAAAATGCTGAACGTATCAGAGTGTGTGTGAAACGAGCTCCGGGATACGGCCCGAATTCGCGCTACAGAGTCAACTGCACGAGCTGACGACTCGAGTCTTCATGTACCGTACACATAGCGAGGGTGAGGTACTCAGAGATTTTGGTCTGAGAAAGAAAGCACGGCTCGTAGCAAGTGGAGAAGTTCGACTGAAAGTTACGGCATGGAACTGGACACGACTTGGGCCCAAATCTGGTCGGTGAAAGAATCGACAGCTGAACGAACGGGAACACACGAGAAACTATCACGAAGTCACATTGACACGGAGAAACGATGAGAGGGGACGTGAGAAACAGGCGGGCTCCACAGATCTCATATGCACAGGGGCACAGCCTCATCGACTCCTGCCAATTCACACAAAATCCCGAATCTACCCACGCGCTTCCGCATTCTACAGCATCATGCTCGCTCACTCGCTCGGAAACGACCAGCAATCGCAGACGCGAGATTCCTAATCCTCTCTCGCGCGCTTGATTCATTCCCCATACCAGTCGTTGGTCCGCTTCATGGTAAAGCTCGTTCGGAAGGGCCGTTTTACAACGGCGGCCTTCTCGGGTTTGGCTGAGACGGCCATGGCCTTCTCCGCCCTGCCCAGCCAACGCTCGTCCACCGTGCCTCTCCAATGCACCAGCCCTCGTCCTCGTCCTCCACCTCCTCCGTCTCGTCGTCCTCCTCGTCGTGCTCCCACACAACCCACACAACAACGATGCTACCACTGCTGCTTGTGCTGCTGCCCTCGATGGTTCGTTCCTCCTCCTTGCTCAGCACCCCAAGCTCGCTCCCCACTGCTGCTGCTGCTGCTGCTGCTAGATAGAGCTGCTGAGGTCTGGCGTCGATCATTCACTCAATCCCATCAAGGAAAGAGAAAGGCGAGCTAATGCTCCCACTCCCTCCTCTCCCTCACTCCCTCGTCCCCTCCTCCTCGACAGCCTCCACCACAACACAAAACAAAGCACTAATCTCTCTCTCTCTCTCTCTCTCTCTCTGTCCCTTCCCTCCCCTCCCCCCGACTCTCGGCACGCCCGCACGCGCACAGCAGTCTCTGCGTAGATGAGGAAGGAGGGGGCAGTAAATGGCGAGATGGCAAAAGTGGCAAAAATGGCAAAGCTGCGCCCGAAGCCCAGTGAAGGCGTGCATCCCCGTTTGCACCGAGCGCAAAAACACCCCCCTGCCTCCCCACCGGCTGCTTCTGGGGGCCCGGTCACCGTGCGTGCCTTGGTCTCGGCCTCGACCCTCGGCCTTAGCCCGCCTTGAGCGCGCAGTACTAGGGGCAGGAGTAGAAGTACATGAAGATTGACGCGAGTCTAGTCCACTGCTAAGCTCTCTGACTGACCTCTGGTTGGGTCCTGCTGACCAGGTCCGACGGGTGGCGCCTGCCCAGACGCCTGTTTCGCGGGAGTATACGTTACAGGTGTATCGGAAGTGTCGATCCTGTTCGTATTTCTTTAACGCCTCCGGCTCTTGGCGCTGCGGCTCTAACTCGGTGACCTGCCACCCCCCCAACTCGGGTTCGAGTTTGACCCGATGGATGGGTGAGCGGAGTGGGGCCCGGCCCTTGCCCTTGCCCTTTCGGCTGTTTCCCGACGTACTGTTTTCTGGGAATCAGCTGACCAATTATGTCATTTAATTCTAGGAATTCCTGCTATATTTGGCGACCGCAACCCATGTTTCCCTTCGACTGGCCGTAGCTATTTTGTCCGTTCCAATAAGAGAGGAGGAGGGCGAGAAGTCTCTCTCTCTCTTGCGCAGCAATTTTCTCACGAGCCCTGCCCTGCCCTGCCCGGCCCGGGCTGCGGGCTGGAGGCTGGGGGCTGGGGGAAGAAAAATTAATGACATTCCCGAGGGTAGGACTACGGCGGCTGCTACTACTACTACTACAACTTTGCTTGTTCTTGTTCCATGGTACCGGAACAAGAACTGCAGTACGCACGTAGCGATGGCTTTCTGGAGCCTGGAGGTGTGTTCATTGGCTGTAAACTGGTGGTGTACCGTGGTTTGTTTGACCTGTACCCGGGTTGGACGACGGTCACCTTTATGGAGGGCTGCTCTTATCCCCTCGTAGGGCAATCATTACTCCATGCTCATGAAGATAAACTGACTGCGCAAGAGCCGTAGCTCTCTGTCTCTCCCCCTTCAGCGTGCTCGTTCTCCTTCCGTTAAATCGTTCTGCTCCTTCCCTTCGAGTGGCCACTTCCTTGAGTCCTTCCTTAATTCTTCCATTCCTTCCCTTCGGTGGATTGCTCGCTGTTCATTTTGAAGCTGGGCGATGGTTTGCAGTTCTCTTTCTGATGATGCGGCTGTCATGAAGAAGAAGCTGATGCTGCTGCTGCTGCCTCGCATGTGCTCAGAGAGTTGGTGTCGAAAACCATCAATGAGCACGGTTGATGATGGTTTTCCACGGATGTTATGATTACTGTAGGCATTAGATGGTAAAGGTGAGCCTTCTCACTTCTTTCATGCATACTTTCAAGCAAGGCAAGGATGGATGGGCTATGGCTAGTGATCATTGATTACCATTCATATTCTCCCCCTCTCTCTCTCTATCTCTCTCTCTCTCTTAATGCCTTCGAGAAGCTCTGGAAAAAGTGAGGGGACATTTGCTTCTCAAATTCTTTGTTGGGAACTTGGGATGATGCATCTCAGCCGTGCACACACTTCGCTCATCCTTCACGAGGGACGTTTGAATACCCCACTCATGCACACTTGGGAGGGAAGGGTGGATGGTTCTCTACGCCACACGCTCTTGAAGCGGGGCATCTTTCATGACTTGCACCATTATGTTCTTGAGCAGGCCCTTCGACATAAGTAAAAGACACAATTTTTGGCTGCACGTTTTTACTCCGAAGTTTCTGGGATAACTCTCAACTTAAAAAGTATAACAACAATAATGTGTGCAAGTGGTCAATACATGCTAAGAGCATGTTTTGAGTTCAATCTGTTCGAATTTCCGAATAGCTTTACTCCGACGATTTGTACTCATGGATTTCATGATGGAGAAGATGCGACATATGCCTTTGTAATGTGAGCTTTGGTTTGCAAGGCAAGTTGTGGAACTTAAGTATTTTTTGTGTGAGTAATCCCAAGACCAATTTCATGATCGAGAGATTTGTAGGACGAAGTTACTTTGGATAGAAGTACTCATCGAAATCTATTTGGGATATGAGGTTACACTATGGTTTGGTATATCAATCTAGATTTCAGTAATCACTGTGAACAAGTAATATTCTTTTTCACAAGTAATATTCCATGTTGTCCTTGAAAATGTTTTTTTTTTTTAATATAGAGCAGTTTTTTTTTTTATACATTGTGCTGAGATCTTATGTCACGTGTATTCATCATTCTTAAGATTTGTTCAATGCAATCTGGATTTAATCAAACACATTATACGAAACTTTTTTATCACATCTTTATACCATTTAAATGGAAACCTTAGTCGTACTATGAACTATTCTCCACTTACTTTCACTTGTGTTATCCCTTTTGGTTTCAACCATCTGAGAGGGTGATGGGGCATTCCCTATATATTTGTTTATTGCTTGGTTTCAGTTCGCTATAGAAACCAGAACTCAAAATTTGGTTTGAACTTGCCTCGCAAATCTCCCCCTTCCAGAATTGTACGAGGGAATGATGAGAATCTTTTACCATTTGTCATAATAGAATTTGGTTAATCATGTGGTTGCACTACAAGTAAACAAAGGACGAACCGGAAGCCATTCAAAACATAAAGTATGGAAAAGGAGAGAACCCTCGCACGCCCAAACCAGAGCATTCAAAATGGATAGTTGTCACAGTAGTATGTCACATTTATCAGCGGACAGCTGAAGACTTCGAAGCTCTTCCGATTTCCAGGTAACGGTAGACTGTCGGTAGTTGACTGCATGCTCACAGTACAGTACAAGAGCAATGTTTGATCGTTAGTACGACGAGGTACATGGCCTGGTACTTATGGCAATTGACTTCCTTCACAAGTAGTTGTTACATCTTCAGGTACCTGTGTCATATCACAAGTCTGCTGAAAAGCAGGTACAGTACACCAACTATTTGGAGTAGGAACCATGTAGCAAGCAAAGTAATCTGATTCACGCGAATCGAAGACAGATGTGGAAAAGGTGAGTGGGATACCGTATCCCATTCGTAATTACGTATCGGGTAACTATATATCCCTGATACGTAATAAGTTCTGCACCATTCCAACGACCTCCCTCCGAGTAAACAGGGACATGTAATGCAAATGGGAGTTACACTCCACACAAAGTTCGTGAGAGTTATTCGTCGACCATTAAGACAGACATTCAAACATCGTTTTGGGAACAATTATTACGTGAGGAATGTTCCTAGGCATTATATTGCGTGAGTCTAACATTTCAGTAGGCAAAGTGAGAAATGTGAGCTCCTTTTCGTAATTGTATCTTACTAGACGTATTTTCCTCCGGGGTGGAAGCGAGTGGTGCGAAACACATTTCATCCCATCTTATTTTGAGGCTCAGGGTGTCGTGCTCACACAAAAAGGTCAAACTATGAACAGATCGAAGGTGGAAGATGATACATTCATTGTCGGCAGGAGGCCAAAAGTTTGCCGCGCCAGATTTTCCAAATAAGGCCAATTCACGGGATGGAATCCGGCACTTGGGATGAGAGAAAGTAGGTTACAGCATGTCGGGGAATACTCATGACCACCGTGCAACTTTAGGGCTTTATTGAGTACAACGACCATCATGTCCATGCTTCGCGGTTTTCCCTCGAGAACTCGACCGTAAACGTATCTCAATGCTGTATAAGAAGGATCAAGATACGTGTACTTGGGATCCATCGACTCAGATAGACATGAAAATTCCTTCACTCTGTATTAAATTGGCAACAACTCTATCAAATGTACTTCCATATTCGAAAGGTGGCTTGTCAGCAAGCACTCGCACTCATATGACGAACTGGGCCCTAGCCTGCACAGTTAAAAATTCGATCGAATCGTCGCGATTTCACCTCATTAAACTCGAACGAAGTCTAACGACCCGATTCTACTCGCACCGTATAAATCAACCAACCCATTCACCTTCGAGACGTACGTCCCATAACTTGTGAAGCAAACCACCGCCGAAGTACGATGAGAGGATCTTGCCAATCATCACAGCCCGAGGAGTAGCAGCAGCAGCAGCAGCAACCCCCGGAGCTGGCTGGAAGCTCGAAGGTTCACCATTCGGCAGGATGTAGATATGGATGTGACATCAGTCTTCGTCACCGCGAGATAGACCGAGCACGCAGCTCCTCCTTCCTTCTTTCGACCACTCCAATCGACACTCCCATTTAATTACATGATCGACTTACGGGGTTAATCCGGGGTTAGTGTTAATCCGGGGTTACGGAGTATGTGGTCACCATGCACACAGAGTCATGGGCAGGGGGGAAACGGAGGCGTCGATGGAAGTGGTGGATGTGGACTGCAGCAGCCCGCAGGAGGCCCAGCGACCTCAGAGTCACACAATGGGTTTCCTTTTTTTTTGCATGCTGCCCCGTGGAATTCTCGAAATTGAGGCCTGCCCGACCTCGATGCTCGGGTTCTCATGCTGCCCTGCCAATATACTATAATTACAATATTCCCGACAGGAGCCTGACACTCGAGATTTCTGCTTCTCTCTCTCTCTCTTCTCTTCTCTTCAAGAGAAACCTGCAACCTGCAGGGCTGCCTGCCCTTCCCGGCCTCGCCGGTCAGGGGTACGATATCCCCGAAGCATCCAATCCATAGTCCATGCCGTCGCATCCTATCCCCATTCCATGTCATCCACCTCATACGGTCTAGTCCCTGCCCCCACACGAGGACCTAGATGCATGCCATGCCATGCATGCCCTTACTGTCTTTGGAAACTGGAATCTACTTATCAACTAGCTTCCCATTGTGGTGTTAATGGGCTCACACCCTTTCGTGTCATCCATACACGAGTCGATGGGGGTCACTCTGCAGTATTCGTTTTTTTCCTTCGAGTAGTTTTCTTGTGAACACATTTGTTATGTTTTGGATCATCCACAAGT